AATCACTAGTTTGTTGGCTCTGCGCTGCCGTAGCGCAAAGATGTCTGCCTCCATGGCTGCGAGACCCGCTCCTATGTAATTATAAATAACGAATTCTAAGGCAACGCAAATATTAAGGTTAAGAGGCTGAGCTCGTAGATGATGATAAATAACATAGTTATGTATAATATATTACATTTCTGACTGTATATCCCTGTAATTATTACACACTGTAGCTTTAATTGGTTTTATTTTTGTAACCAGGTTGCAGTGTATTGCAGATCTCTGCCCAGGTCCCCCTTAAAAATGAGATCCAGATCTCAAAGGGGTTTACCTGGTTAAATAAAGGAAATTAAGGTCATTCATGTCATTAAGAGATATGCCACTGCCTCTACTATTGGATCCTGAGCAAGACCCTTAACCTCAATTGCTCCCCCAGGTGGCGCACAGTGGCAGCCCACATATCCCCAAGGAGACGGGTTAAATGCAGAGGTAAATGTCTCAAATATGAGAACAATAAAGTTAAATTATTATTATTAATTATTATTATTATTATTAAAACAGAACAAAAACATAGACATAGTAGAAAGACAATTCTGATTTTTGAAGGAAACTGACCAGAGCCAACAAATAAAAGCAAAAGTAAGAACGGATTCAATATAAAAAAAAAATATTAAACATCATGAAAACAAAATAGACCTTACAATTATGAAGCTTACAACAAAAGTGCATATGCTACTTAAAACTCAGTTTCTTTTCAATAGCTACTCCCAGGTATTTGTACCGTACCATCGAACACTGTTTGGTCATTGATCACCATTGGAGGGATCAAAGTCTAAACTAATTCATGTTAATATATCAAACTGATTATCCACTCTATTTTGAAAAGTAATTGACAACAGAGGCCTGTTTAGAGATTTATCTGCTAAGAAGTACACAATAAAAGAAATATCCCAAATTTAACAGTGTAGTTGTTGATGACTCTGACAGTCATTAGATTATAACGCTAATAAAAGGCGTGAGAAGACACAGCCCTGGGGAGACCTATTAGGATAAAAGAGAGGCTCAGATAAAACAACGTTCACTCTGACTCGTTTTCACATCTCTGTTCAAAAACGTCCAAAAACCTCTATCAATATTGAAAAAGTTCTTTAACTTAGGTGCCAAAACATATGTTTGGATGCAATTAAAAGCTGAAAAAAAGGGTAAATCAAAAGGCCCAGAGTGGGTCCACTTCACCTGTTTGCCTTATAAGCAAACTGGAGAGAGTCCAGCTTATCCTACATCACGTCTAACAACATCTCTCATGACAATTTCTCAAAATAAGAAGAGATGTCAATGCCACTGGTGTGAAATCATGAAGTCTTTTGCAAGTTTAGATTTTAAATCGGAGGTGATTCTGCTTATGCTTGCTCATTACTTCTGGTTTAGAGCCAAACGGTGCCATTGTCCAATCAGTGAGGTCTAATTTTCCCACTAATATCTACCTCTTTTATTAGGTTAATGTCATTGTGGCTGAAAACTTTGTCTCTGAATATGTTGTGTTTTTTTTGTTTTGTTTTTTTTTAAGATTTGTTGATGTGGTTTGCACTTCAGGGCCACCATAGCTATGTTATCATGTATGCCATACATCATGTTGTATTTTCCATGATGAATGAAAGAAACGATATGGGATGTAGTCAGTATAAAGGACAGTGAGAACATGTATGCCTGAAATTCTTTTTCATATCTTATAATCATTTCCTCAAGAGGACAGCCTGGATAAAAAATACTAAAATCTTTTTTTTTAATACATATGTTTCATTGTGTTTTAAGAGAATTAAATGTCATATTTTGCTTTGTCTAAAGTTATGTTGTTTAGACAGTTTAACAGCAAAAGGCCATTTGGAATACTTCCCACAGGAAGTGAAAAGAATGTGGTGAAGAACAGATGTTGAAGCTGTTCTTCAGTCACAGCTGGAATCAAAGGATGAAAATTCTGGAACATAAATATCTGATCAATCCTGTTAAAAAACAATTGAGGGGAAAAATTGAGAAATTAATTAAGTGTCTATAAGATAAAATAATATTTGCTTCATTGGTTGGATTAACAATTGTGTAGAAAGTGTCTAACTATGGCTGCATGTTTGAAAAGCTATTTTTTAATCATTTTCATCTGACATAAAATGATGCCCAGCTCAGAAACGTAAATGATTTGCAAATTTCTAATTATAGTGGGAGGAACCTGTATAAATGTCATCATTTTCAGGAAATGCTCACCTCCCGCTGTGCTTCCATTACCTGAACCGTCCAATCATAGTGAGCCTGGTCTGATGAAGAGAACCTTTAATACGTTGTTCAGACAGGCGAAGCTTTATCAACCGGAATCAGAAACAGGATGGCATTTAGCTTCCAGCTTCCAGTCCTCAGAGATAAGATGTAGTAATTACTGGATCCGACACCTAGACCGCTGGTTGAACTATAAGGAGCAGGCTAATACATCATAGATTCAATACGTGTTTTCTTACCCCTAGACCATTTAAAGAAAAACATATTTTCCTAAGTCAAAACCACAAACTTCAACGTATTTTTTGATTTTCTACATTAAAAAGCAAAAAAAAAAAAAAAAAAAAAAATTGTGCATGTTGTCAAATTTCATTTGAAATATAAAAAAAGCTAATTAATTAAAGAGTGCCTTGCATCTGTTTGAGTCAATATTTTTATTGTGTTTTATTATATTTATAGCATTCCATATTGGATTCTTTAGATACATAATGTCTGTTACGGCTGGCAGCCACATTTTTGTAGATTTAGATTAGTAGATTATCCTCTATTCTATCCAGATCATAGATTCTCCTCAACATTACCCCCAACATGTCCGCCAACTTCCTTTGTTTTTCATGCTGCTGTGGACATGGAAAAGACACATGGAAAAGACCTTCATAGACACATGAGAACATATCAAGAAGATGTGGAGACCTACAGTAGTGGTTAGGGCACTGCGCTTGGAATCCAGTGGTTCCGAGTTCAAGCCCCACTCCCACAGACTGCCACTCTGGGTCCCCGAGCAAGACCCTTAACGCCACAATGCTCCCTGGGAGCTGCACAATGGAAGCCCACTTCTCCCCAAAGGGCATAGGTTAAAGGCAGAGAGTGAATTTTCATTGCTCTGTACTTGTGAGAGTGTAATACAATAAAAGTTGGGGAAAAAAAAAAAGATAAGAAGTATCCATACTTTTGAAAAAAAAATGTATCAGAAGGGTCTAGACTTTAACCAAAACAACAGAATAAACAGGAGTCACTCTTTAAATCATAGTTAAAATATCCTTTGGGTCTAAAACACCACAGCTGCAAAAATAAAAACAAACTTCAACCTCACTGCAGTGTCTTAATGTTGCCACAAGGGGTCACTGCTTTCACTCTTATCACCTCCAGTGTTTCCCCTGAGTTCAGCTTTATATACAAACACTATTTTCCCCCAACTAATTGTCTTATTGTGAATAACAGGATTAAATCTCTATCTGAGGAGAATTCAATCTGATGTTGAATGTTTCCTTAATTAATTCAAATTAAGATGCTGTCATCATTTTAAACAAAGACAAGTTGGGTCAAGCAAAAGCACGAGCATATAAGTCCTCCTCAATGGAATGCAGATAACATGATTTAACATGGCAACCCAACATAACATCATTAGCAATAGCAGATAAAGAATATCAAAGAATATTTATAAGAAAAGAGAAAAAAGCTGACCAAGTCAACACTTCATTATGATTTAAATGAATTTGAGTTGTAGTCTAAACACAATACTAATTCACTGCCCAAATAAATAATGTGTGTGGAAAAAAAAAAGACATGGCAGCTAATCAAGATGAAATATAAAAACACAGCTATTGTTTACCAACTGAATTAACAAGGATTTATGAGCTATATTATAACAAATTATGGATGTCTATGAAAATAAAACTGGCCTCATCAATTAATATGAAAAGAAGACGTTTAGCTGACAGGTCAATATTTCTGTTCCTAAAGCTCCTTGTGAAACAATTTTTGCAAAGTTTACTTCCAAGACAACATAGAGATGTGTGTAATCAAAGGGGAAAACCTAAAAATGCAGCAAAAGAGAATAGAAATAAAAACATAACAACCTCTAGTTCCTAAAAGAAATAATCTTTTAAAAAATTATGAAAAAAGTAAAATAGCCATTTGAGGTCTCAGATAAAAAAGATGTTCAGAGCTGGAGTTAGTTTATAAAGTTTCTAACCTTTCTTTGTGAATCAGATGACTGGTTTTCCAGGTAATCAAACAGTGAGCCTGAACACCTGCAGTTACATAGAGCTGCTTATGAGCCCTTCATTGAGAAATAAAAATGTTCTAAATGTTTTATAAGATTCTTTACCTGTCTATATCTGCAAATGGAATAAAAAGAGTTAAATTAGTGAAATTAGTGGGAAGCAGTTAGATAAAACTAGCTTCACAATAAGCAAGACTGGAACCTGCTGTTTGTCACAGAATGTGCGTGAATGTAGTGGCGTGGTGTACGATGGCGTGGAGGACGCAAAACCTTTGGCTCCGTCTACGAAAACAGTTAAGGTGGGTCTATTTGACAAACCTCAGAATCAGAAAGGGATTCCTGTTCAGACAAAGCGGCAGAATCGGATCATTTGAAACCTGCTGTCAGATGGGGAACCTTTAACCCCGCCTCCCATAGCTACTGCGTTAGAAACCTCTATCTGTCTAACCAGACGTGTTTTCCCATGCAGCCCACAAGGGTCCGGCTTCTCCCTAAACAAGCACCAATTACGGCGAACTCAGATTTTGATCAGAAGGTTTTATTTTATTGATGAATTAACAGGTTCTATTGATCAATAGCTCTGTGGCAACCTTACAGCGCCCCACACTGGCACAGCTTAGAATTACAATAACATAATAGTTCGACTGACCTCTTCTTCGAATCTGTGTGTACACAGCCCTTGAAAAACTCTGATCTACATTTAGATAATAGAAAAAACATATCTAATTATCAGTGAACTTTTTTTTTTTTTAGTTATATCCATTCAATTTTCCTTATCAAGGGGGTTTTATTCTTTAAAAAACATGATAACTATTCTTCTGAGTTTTTTCAAACAGTCTCATCTGCTCCTTTAGACACAGTTAATATTGTCCTTTAGTTTGTTTTTCCGACTGGATATATAGTCTTTCAGACAGGTTCCTGTCCTTCATGCATTCTCATGTGAGAGTTTAAATATTTGCTTTTAGTGAAGCCTTCACCACAAACTGAGCAGCTGAAGGCCTTTTCTCCGCTGTGAACCTTGCTGTGACTTACAAAATCCTGCTTCCTTCTAAATATTGCAGAACAATCGGAGCAGCTGAAAGGTTTTTCTCCCGTGTGAATTCTCTGGTGCTCAATTAGAGTGTTCTTCCATTTAAAAGTAAGGTTGCAGACAAAGCAGGAGTAAGGTTTGGTTCCTGTGTGAGTCCTCATGTGACGGTTCAGACACGCGTTCTGTCGGTAGCTCTGGCCGCAGATGGAGCAGATGAAGGGTTTTTCACCTGTGTGGGTTCTCATGTGCTGCTTTAAAGTAAATTTCCTTTTAAAGGTAGCGTCACACATAGTGCAGCTGAAGGGTCTTTCTCCTGTGTGGATTCTCATGTGTTCCATAAAAGAGTTTTTCCATGTAAACGACCCGTTACAGATGGGGCAGATGAAGGGTTTCTCCCCTGTGTGGATCCTAGTGTGCTCCAGAAAAGTGTTCTTCCATCTAAAGGTGGCCTGGCAAAAAGAGCATGCGTACGGTTTCTCTCCAGTGTGGCCTCTCATGTGGCGGGTTAAACTCACGCTGTGTCGGTAGCTTTGACCGCAGATGGAGCAACTGAAAGGTTTCTCTCCTGTGTGGGTTCTAAGGTGTTGCTCTAAAGTATACTTTCTTTTAAAAGTCGCATCGCAGAAGGAGCAGCTGAAAGGTCTGCCTCCTGTGTGGACTTTTCTGTGTCTCAACAGACGTTCCCGCCGGCTGAATGCTTTGCCGCAATCACTGCAGGTGTGCAGTTTATGCTCGACGTCACAGATTGGATCACCTGATTTTAAAGCCGGTTGTGGTTCGCCGCTCTCCCCCCAGTTTCCTTCGCTGACGTCCGTCTCTGAAGTAACTGAACTTTCTTCTTCATGGTGTGATTCGAAACATTCAACAGGTTTTGGTTCCAAAGAGTCTTTATTCTCTTCAGTCTGGATGTGATGAAGCCTCGAAGGTCGAGGTTGTTCTTGTTCATCTTCATCTTCAATCTTGAAGGATGTGAACTCTATAATCTCAGCCTCCTCCTGTTCCTCTTTAATCTGAGGAGGCTTCTGGTCCTCCTGTTTCAGGTTAAGACTCCAAATCTGCTCCTCAGCTTCAAGCTCCTCTTTGATCACCAAAAGTTGGTGGACATCTGCAGGAAATAAAACACTGATTATAAAAGCTGCTTCATTTCTAAATAGAGAAACAACATTAACTAACTTATCCAATTCTAGCAACTCTTGGTAAACATGTAGTTCAATCCTTGTCTAATTATTCATCATTTCACTCTCATCAGGAGAGTAGATGAAAGAAGTGTTAACACTGTGATTTGAAATTATTATTTTAAAAACTTTAAGATTTAAAAAACAATAATTCAGCACATAGTTGATAACTCCTACTTCAAATCTGGGCTTTTAGGATAAGTGGCAAAAAGAAAAACAAACAAAAAAAGAAACGTGGGAGGAAATGCTCTGGTCAGAGAAAAAACCAAACCAGACTTTTTGGCCTAGATGTTTAGGCAGCAGCCTAAGAAGGGAGGCCCAGACTTCCCTCTCCCCAGCCACTTCTTCTAGCCCCTCTGGAGGAACCCCAAGGCGTTCCCAGGCCAGCCGAGAAACATAGGCCCGTCCACACGAAGACGAACCCTGGCCTAAACGCACAAATTTCTCACCAAACCAGCCTCTCATCCACACGAAGCCGGCGTTTCGGGGGTCTGTAAACGATCTTTTTTTTATTCAGCCTTCAGAGTGGGAAGATTCTGAAATGCCGTTTTCGCGTTTCCATCTTTACGCTCTAACCGCATATTTTTTTTTACACGCATGCGTCATAGCGTCGCCTCTAAACACGCATGCGCGACACAGTATCACAAAAACAATGGCGCCGTTGCTGCTAATGCTACTCACCCTGCTGTCGAGCTTACAACAGAATCTTCTTCTTCTGGAATATCTCCAGGAAGAACAGAGCAATATCGACGACATAGTTCAGCACCTGAATTTGACTGAACCACGAAAATGGACCCGCAGGGCAACCATGTATAAATATTAGTGCGCATGCCCAACATTTCGTCGCTTATTTTTGCTTTGGCACCACAGCGCCACTTACAGGCCTGGCATACATTTTGCAGCGTTTTCATGCATTCGTGTGGACGCTCACATTTATTTTACGTCTCCGTCTTTATGGCAAACGTTTTGGAAAATATCAGCGGTTCGTGTTCGTTTTGACTTCGTGTGGACGGGGCCATAGTCTCTCCAGCGTGTCCTGGGCCTCCCCCTGGTGGGACGTGCCTGGGTCATAGACAATCCAATCATTATAATTGAGAAAGCTTCCTGGAGAGGTGGCGAAACGTCTTCAAATCTTGGAAACCAAGTCCAGTGGATATTTTTTTAATTTTTACGGAATCATTATAAAAAAAAAAAAAAAAAAAAAAAAACATCCTAGAGGCAATTTCCAACTATAGCATTTTAACAGCAGAGATCTACGTTAAAACTATTATGCAAAAAGAACAGGGTAAAAAATGGTTATACTAACAATTGGTTCTAGACTTTAACAGAGGTACACTTGCTAGATATTTATTTTGTTTGTAATGGTACTTCCAACTCTTCTTGATAACTTTCTGTTGTTGCTGTGTAAAGTTCATAGAAAATAAAATGAAGTTGTTGATTCTAATGTGAAAAATACAAAAGGTTCGAGATGCAGGGATACCAATATATCAGGCTGTTGGTTCTGCACTGTTTACAAAAATAAAATAAGTAACATCCCTAATAAACTCCCACCCTGTGCATGAAGCTGCCCCTATAGTGAAGTATAGTAAAGTTTATTACATGGCCCTCGTTTTTTTTTTTGTTGTTGCAGTTTTTAATCCATGGAAATTTTGTATATTATTTCAATATTCATCATGTTCTGTTCTGCTTTTCTTTAAATCCCAGAAAGTCCATTTTAATTAATACATTATTTTGATAGTATGTTGTAAACTAGACCTTATAATAAGGTGTTATGTTTGTACACACTTTTTATGCTTTATTTTGTCTCTTCAACTGTAGTTGAATAATATCGAGGGTTGAAATTTCAACCCTGATGTCTTTCATGTAACCAGATTGCAATTCCCAAACAAAACATTTGGATTAGAAAGCAATGTTTAATTTTTCTTTCGAAATAAATAATATATATATACAGTTGTATCTCATAATCTTCCATATTAGGTAACTAAATAACCTGAAGGTGGGTTTCAATAAGGAAAACATGGTTACCGTTGGTTCTGACTGACTGATCAGAGGATTTTGGGCTCAAATTCTCCAGCGCTGAAAAACTCCGAGATTCAGACATTTTAACTGCAACTTCAGAGCAACCGTTGCATAAAAACACAACCTGCTCCCATATCAGTTCGCCTCTCAGATTCCGCAAACTGCGTGCCCTGGCTGCTTAAAGGCTAACCTCGATATCTCTGCATCTGACTGCTATATCCATAGAAACTACCGGAAAACAGGACGATTGTTTAGCTCAAGGGAATCACTTCCGTTGATACGAAGCACTTCCTGATTCCCTCCAAAATAAAAGCATGTAACGCTGGCAGGTCATGCAAAATTTCTTTTTTTGAAGAAGAAGAATCAAAGCATAACAAGGCATATCAAAGCAATTATACAAAATTGTAAATTGAATATCTTAAGAGTAGAATATGTATAATATAACAAATAGAATCATATAGAGAACCTATATACAATTAGAAAACAAAACTATCAGATCGTAGAACAAAATAATTAAATAAAATGAAAAGAAGAAAAACAAAACACAGAAGGACTCTTGAATTTTAAAGTAAATTCTCAATATATTGCATCATTTATTGGGCTCTAGGGTTTTTACAATGGGTTAGTCCTTATTTTAATAAAAGTATCTCACTCATAAAAATATTGAAAGATGGGGTCATTTATTGAAATCGACATTTATGTATGAAAAATATGGCCAAAAGACCAGTCTTCAAGTTAGCCTGGTTAAAATCCCCAGCAATGATGAAAACACCCTCTGTGTGCAGATTGGAGCTCAGAGATAGCCTGGTATAGAGTCTTCTTGGCCTCTTTAGTGTTTGCACTGGGAGGCACATAAACAGCCGTATTGCTAACAACACTGAACTCTCTGGGCAGATAGAACTGCCTGCAGTTAACAGTCAGAAACTCGATGTCTGGAAAGCAGAAACTAGCGACCGATTTACAGAAGACTGCCATGACTTATACTTATAAAACCTCTCCCGCTGTTGTGGTATTGAAGGATGTAATCAGTTTTAACACACACTAACCATCTTGTTATCACGAAAAAACAACTTTTGTTAATTAACTCGTGTTCTTGGGAAAACCACTGTAGAAAAGTATGGGAGGGACACGGCCGCTCTCAGCTTCCGTAAAAAAGAATCCTCAAACTGGATCATAATAGTTGGCCTGAGGAAAACAAAAAAAATGTGTTTCTCAGAAACGGATGTCAGTGATGGAAACTTGGAGGGGAAATATGGAGCAAAAGCAGGATTGGACTTGAACTTAATACCACATTTTCTGTTACAGGTCTGAAATATGAGTCGGTTAAGAAGCTACAGTACATAGCTGCACTGAATGTGGTAAATTATTTAACCAAAAGTCTGATCTCTTGAGGCACATCAGAGTCCACACAGGAGAGAAGCCTTTTAGCAGCACCGTCTGTAACGCATCTTTTTCTTAAAAGCATGTGTTGGTGCAGCACATCAATACGTAAAGTGGTCAGCGGTTGTGAAGGAAGATGCATGTTACTTCTCATATGAGGAGTCATACTGAAGAACAACCCTTCTCCTGCTGTATTTGTGGAAAAAAGTTTAGCCGTAGAGAAAGCGTGAAGTGACACATGAGACACCACACTGAAAAGAAACCCTCACACTGCTCTGTTTGTGGGCAACAGTTCGGCATGAAGGACAGCCTAACCTATCACATGACTCATCACATCTATCAAAAACCATACAGCTGCTCTGTCTGAAGCAAAACCTTTACTTTAAAAATAACCTTGATGGATCACATGAAAATCCATTCAGAGAAAAGGCCGTTCAACTGCTCCATCTGTGGCGCAGCTTTTAAAAGAAAACAAACTTTAGCAGAACACACAAAAACCAACTGTTTTATGTGTTCTTTAATTAGCGTTAAATTGAGATTTAACGCTAATTTTCCAGTCAGAGCATTCAAAACAGTCCTGGAGTTTCTCCATGGCGCCCTCAGACCACACTCGGACCTCTTTAACTGTTGGTTTAGCCCTAATCAGCTGGGGCTTATATGCAGGAATTAACATCACAGAGAGACGATCTGATAAACTGAGGTGGGGGCGGGGGGCTGCTCTGAATCCATCTTTGATGTTAGAGTAAACCAGGTCTAAAATGTCGAGTTGCAATGTCAACATGTTGATAAAATTAGGGAGCAGTCTTCAAGTTAGCCTGGTTAAAATCCCCAGCAATGATGAAAACACCCTCTGTGTGCAGATTGGAGCTCAGAGATAGCCTGGTATAGAGTCTTCATGGCTTAGTATTTTTATGTGGCAGAATGTAAATCTAATAAGTAAATGTTGAAAATGTTGATTAATTTTGTCTTAAAACAATATATATTTATTGTTAAATTGAATAAATCCTCATTTTGTGCAAAACACCATTATAACATAATTTAAAGATGTATCATGGTCAAATTCCAGCATCTAATCAGTTACTCTGCCTGGCTTCTCTCTGCTCCTGACCAATAGCATTCTCTTTTGCTACAATGGCTCTACTGTATAAAAAAAAAAAAAAAAAAAAAAAAAAAAAAATCTGTAATATTTTAATAAATAAATTTCCTGCTTAATTTCAGGCCATATTGTCACACAATTAATAAATAAATTGAGATTTAACGCTAATTTTCCAGTCAGAGCATTCAAAACAGTCCTGGAGTTTCTCCATGGCGCCTTCAGACCACACTCTGACCTCTTTAACTGTTGGCCATATTGTCACACAATTAATAAATAAATTGAGATTTAACGCAAATTTTCTATTTAAAGATAGAAACATCCAGACTATTTGATTGTATATACATGTTTATTTATGTGCAGGAGGTGTTTTCAGTGACATGTTAATCCTGTTTTCTGTGTCTTATTCATGTATTGAACAGTGGTAATTTTAGCCCTCAAAACCAACCCAGCTCTCATTGCTAATGTTCTTCCCTCCAGTGGGACCTTTGATTGAAATCGGAAATGTGTTTGACATTCAAAGAAAATTGCTAGAAACTAGGAACAGATGTTTCCATTTGCTCGTTTGTTACACTTCCTATGAATAATAGTCATTTAGAGCTGATCTCATTAATAATGTGCACTGCAAAAAGATTCATGTAGTGTATTAAACAACAAAGTAGAATTTAAACAAAGATTTATCTATTTTATGTAAGATTCACCCTTAAAACTAGTTATAATCACACTGTGAAATTCCTGTTTAAAGGGAGCTTTTCCTCTCCACTGTCGCTACATGCATGCTTAGTGTGAGAGATTGGTTTGTGTCAATGAGTCGATGCAATCATCTGGTTTTTCGTTAGATAGAAAACTTTGAATCAATTTGACTGGATGATCTATTGTACAGTAAAGTACCTTGAGATGACATGTGTTGTGAATTGGCATGATATAAAAAAACTAATTTAAATATTATCCTTAATTTCTTTTAATACATTTTTTAAATCCTGGGCAATATTTTGAAGGTAGTTTTAGATGTTCACCTGATAAAGTGTTCACAAGGGTGGATGTGCTATTGATAATAGTTTCCTGTCCAACCTTCATCATCATAAATTGATATCTAAACTTACAGATGAGAACAAATGCAGTCTCGATGTGATCAAACAACACAAAATAGGCCTTCAAGTCTCTGAAAAAAAAAAATTTAATTTGATTTAGTATTGAAATTAAGGGGGGATTTGTCATTAAATAATTTTATTCTATAGTACTTTTTTTCTATAGTTGTGTTAGATAGCTGTTGTTTTTCTATTTTCCTTCCATTTATACCTAATAACCCTTTTTCCTGTTAACAACTACAAAAAATGCTTTCCCCATATTTGAGAGGTCTCACTTCATTCTTCTGTACAACTTTAAGCACTTAGACTTCTGTGAAGTTTTTTTTATTCAGTAGTTTCCCCCTTAAAGGACAATAAAGGTTTTCTTATAAAACATTTTCTTTACATGTATTCAGTATTTTTGTGGTCAGTATTAACTGGTGTTCCTTTTTCTCACCACCAGATGGCAGTTAAGGCTTATTGTATAAAACAAGCACTAAACATCAGTTTCTTGCAATGGCTTTAAAAAAGACCGAAAAACTATAAAATATGAGTTTGGAAAACCATGCAGTTATACAATAAAGTCTGTTCAGAAGCCTGTGTTAAAAATCAGCTGTCAACATATTGACATCTTTGATTGTTTTTGTTTTACTTCAGCTCTTTTTCATATTTTATAATAATGTAATAATTTTAAATGCTGGTTCTTTAACTGCTAATGGCCCTTTGTATTGAAAATCTTTCTTAAAAAAAAAATTCTTTTTTATTTCTTTTAGTTTTTTTGTATTTCTCTTGGTTTTTACTATTTCTATTTACACAATTTTTCCCCAAAAGATTGTTAAAATCCTTTTTTTTATGTGCTCTTAGTGCTCTTTATAAAATTCAATGTTTTACATGAATTATTCTTATAAAAATTAAAAAGTAAATTGAAGAGCACATACATACCATGCTTAATAAAGATACTAAAATTCGTTGCTTGTATAAATTAAGGAATTCAAAAAGTTTCTCTCTTTTTTATTCATATTTTTATTTGATCTCAAACAGATAAAAAGGGATTTATCTAAACATAGAGAGCTTCAATAGATTTTTAAACTGCTACTCCTTTTTTTAAATTTAATATTGAATCAAGATTATGGATAAAGTATTTATCTGTTCAGAATAAATCTGATTAGGGGCGGCCAGTGCTAATTGAGAATGTGGGATTGGCATGAGATTATAGCAGAAATGGTGGCAGTTATACTAAGCTTAATGGGTAGAGGAGGTTAAACCAGACAAGGTGCTGGTCTGATTCCAAAGCAGTTTTAGAAAATATTCATGTGGAGAAAAAGAAAATGTAGAACATGTACTGATGAAATGTAAAATGTATGAACATGAAAGGGAAAAATTGAGAAGAATGGTTGGAAGGACATGCAAACAATGGAGTCTTAAAGGAATATTGGGAAATGAATGAAATATAAAGGATATTCACTAATTAAGGAAAGCATTGTTTATTTATCTATAGAATACAAAATAAAAAAAATAGAATTTGATTTAATGTTGCTACACACTCATGTACAGTATGTGGCGGTGTGCACCTTAAAGTTGCTTGCGATCTCTCGTAATAGAAAAAAAAGAAGATTGTGGAGCTTTTATTTTGAAGGCCATTATTCCCTAACTGACGCGATCTGTCAACCGCAGAACCCATGGAAAGAAAACCTTTTTTACTTTTCTCTAGGCGAAGTTTCTATATTGATTTTAGCTTCAGCGAATCACGCAAACCTTTATGAAAATGGTCGTGGTTTTTGACTTCTTTGGGATATAATAAGATATAAACTTTGATGTTAAAGTCCTACCGGAAGCAGCAGAAGCTATTATTGTTAGCTCATTCTGTTAGCATTAAGCAAACAATCGGCACTGAAGATGAGAGAAAATCAAATACGGAGCATAATGGAAACGGGTGGTGTTTATCTGCTGGAGTATAAGGAGAGAAAACTTTCTTCTCTAAACGTGTGAAAACATTAGAAGGTCCCTGAGTTCGAGGGAAGACAGCAGAGATGGAAGAACCAGCACAGAGTCAGCAGATGGGCTCCTCTTTTCAAGGTGATAATCTGCTTTTCCCAGCTCTGGTTAAAAAAAAAAAAAAAAAAAAAAAAAAAAAAAACGTCTTAATATCCACGCGTCACATTACATTATTAAGTAAATTATTTGTTTAATTTATTTGCTTTTTTTTTTGGTGCATAAACCTGGACACTAAGATGGAATATATGAGAAAACAGTCTTTCAATTAGAAAAATATGAACCAAGTCATCCTTATGGCCATGTTAGTAAGCTCCTGTATACTTACTTAATTTTTAGTTTTTGCTTCTCTGGATGTATTAGTAGAACAAAACTCCATACCTGTAGGTGGCGGTAGTGCTACGAAATGTTGATCTTCTTCTTCGTTAGATTGGCGGATTGCAAACAACTCACAAGTGAACACCGCCACCTATTGTACATGAGTGTGTAGCTCTATAGTTCCATCTGTTATATTTTTTAATTTGTGTTATGTAAAAATAAAAACAATGCTTTATTAATAACCACATTTTACTCCCTATCTCCATCTGTCCCTAAAATTTGACTTAATTAATTAATTTATTTGACAGGGACAGTGTACATTAAAAAGCATTCCTGCAAATGCACCAGAATTAGCCAAAAGGCTATTTTTGGACAGATCTTAAAATTGTCTACCTAAAAAAACACAACACTTAGCATTCTACAATGAAAAATACAAATCTAAAATTAAATAAAAACAGCTATTTTTTTTTAACCCTATATAATCTTCCTTTCTCATCTTCATTCCATATTTTTTTTGCCATAATTCTGTTTCTTTCTTTTTAATTATTGATTTACCTTCCCCTTTCCCAAATGGATCTTCTTCTTGTGAGGTTTTATGGTAAACCACCATAAAGTAGTTAAAAGTGCATTAGGTACTTTTTTTCTGCTTTCTGTTGGTAAATATTTGAGGTATTTTTATTGTTTTATGGTTGTATTTAAATTAACTTTGGTGAATATTCTAAGGGACAATGCAATGAAAATACAGATAAACACAGTGAGATCATATTCTGAGGCGGGGTCAGCGTAAGGGTGCCACGGGGCTTCCGGTGTCCAGGCTACCATCACCGCGAGGGTGTAACTTTGTGATAAAAGTTGGTGGGGACACTCGGGTGGTGGCTAATGGACCTACAGTTAGACTTTTATTAGGCTAATTTTCCAAAAATGAGCTTAAACATCTATTTGTTGAACGCTTTCCTATTTTTGAGAACACAAGAACACAACACACTGATATTTATATCTATAGATTTAAGAGAGACCGATTCCAATGCCAAAATCGATATCATGCATCCCTAGAAGTACAATTTCAATTCCATCCGGAACAAAATTGGATATGCTGCATTTAAAATATAGCATAGCATATTTTCTTCTAGTAGAGTTTCTGGTAAGATATATTTTATTGCATGTTGCATATCCCAGTAAATCTGTTTCACCTTTAAATCTGCAGCTCTCCCTACTTCTCTCAGTGCTCTGTTTAAAAAGATTTATGAACCTATGTACTAATATGATGTGGCCAGAAACAAAATTTCCAGATATGTAGAAGCTCTGGTGTCTGATTCTGTCTGTACAATAAAAAAACATCTTAACCTGTAACTGTGAGTCATGGTCCTCTGAGAAGCCAAGATTTTTTTTAACTAGTCAAGAAGAAGAAATAAAGTTTTCTCAAGCTTCTTATGTAGAATACCAACTTGTCTAAACTTAAAATCTGTTGCCTTTTTTAGCTGAAAAAGCTCTGTACGTCTAACGAACTGATTTCTTGGTGGCATCTCTAATTTTTTAACCAACCTGTCTCCTAACTTTTACTTAATGATCGAAGTAGCTGCTGGTTAATAATCACTGAGTGCTGCTGTATGTCTCTCCTCCAACCACGTAGCTACTCTCTAAGCAGTGAAATGCGACCACATATCAGATGTCTCAAAGCGACAGATCCGATGATGTTAGACCGAGATGCGGGACATGCGAGCAGCATAGGGTGGCCAGATGTCCGGCTTTAGGGCGGACAGTCAGGATTTTCATTGCACTGTCCGGCGTCCGGCGCTGCACCCAGCCGGACGTGTATTTGTCCTCCTTTACCCCCAGATTCCACATACTCCGTCAGCACTCCGCCCCGCTCACGTACGGAGTACTTGTCTGTCATGTAAATCAATGAGAGCTGTTCCACATCCTCCGCTCGTCACCGCCCACGTACGTCTTCTCCGTCCTTCACCGTCAAAATACGGAGCTGAGCTATTTTTTGCTCCCCTCCGGTCCGTGCAGATCAAGACCCGCTATTGCAATCGCACCAAACAGAAAAAAGAATGTAGAGAAGACCCGGTTTGTCAAATTAAATTATAGTAAAAACAGATCGGTATCTAGAAATTAGAGCATAGTTTGTATATATTCCCAAAAACTAAGAGCAATTAATTAAATAATTGGATGCAGACTATTGGTGCTTCAACAGACTAGGAAGAAGTTGTGAGATTCTAGAGTGAATCTCACAACTTTAAAAGAAAATTCTTATTGCAGGAATGGATGAAGAGATGATGAGTTTGGAAGCAGAGAATAAACAGAGTTCATACAAACTATGTATGATCCTAGTTATCCCTGTTACAAAAATCGGCAACAGAAAGAAAATATTTGGGCAGAAACTGAACATCTGCTGGATGATGATGGGGATTTTTTTAATATGTCAGATTCAATTAAGCGTTCACAGGTTTTATACAGGAATGAGGAACTCTAATTTAATGCTCTTTTAATGCTATTAGAAATAATTTTAATGCCATCAACAAGTATCATGTACACAAGTTATTAGTTTACATGAAATAAGGAGCTGTAAGCACAGTTCCATGACTCAAGTTTATATATATATATATATATATATATATATATATAGATAGATAGATAGATAGATAGATAGATAGATATGGATAGATAGATAGATAGATAGATAGATATGGATAGATAGATAGAGAACATGGTGAAATCATCTTTACTCTCGACAGGCTGCAGCCATGTCATGAATTCCTCTTTTCCAGCCACTTTTTGCAGTTTGCATCGTCCTATTCTCTAGCTCTTTCTCGAGCTTCTTTTCCAAACAACTGCTTTATGATCAATTGCAGCAGTTCTGCGCAAATTAATTGTGTTAAAAAAATGGTCACTTTTTAAACACCACGATGTATTAAATAAATACAAATGCTGGGAACCAATTCTTTTTTACATTTCTTTAATATTTTGTTCTATTCAGCTACACAAGCATCCTCTTTAAACTACTAAGAATTGTGCTATAAATGTGACTTTACCCGATTCTTATGTACACCTTAGTAATTTATTGATATGCCGCACAATGTCCTCCTTTTTGGTGCTATAGAAATGGCCACCCTAGAGCAGCAGGAGAGGGAACATGCAGCCACCTTGAGCTGCATTATCCTAGAATCCCCTGAAAAAGGTATATAAAACTAGACTTTATTAGCAATCACAATGTTTCACACACAAAACCCTGCAAAATGTCCTAGATGTTGTAAAACCTTGTCTGACAAAGTCTTCAAATACTAATAGAAAGTTACAAAGAAATGATGTCACAATATCACTTGCTGATAAAATAAAATAATTTATAAATAACAAGTTAAGAGCATCTAGCAGGTATTTTGTTGTGATTTTTATAGTACCTGAAAATTTATAGAAACAGAGGACCAACCTGAGGCAACGCCTCACAACAAAGCTTTCACTTTGCAAAAACAGCCTCCCCCACTAAATTCAGAAAGCTTTAAATAAAGGCTGAATAATATTTCAAAATTTAAATAAAACATTGCTATATAAAAAGATAAAATGGTATTGAAACACTTACAAATACTTAAAAAAATTAACCACAGGCAGTTTTAGGTGCTGCTAAAAATGAAATTTAAGTGCATGTTTTTTTCTTGATTTGAGTAGTTAAAATAATTTGCCAAAGGGATACATGAACCTTTGTTTAAAATAAGAAAAAAACAAACTGCATTTAATCTATATCTTATTTTACTGTATGGGCAGAAATACTCACTCACTTGGCATATCATATTTTATACATACTCAAACTGAGGGCGAATAAACTTATTTTAATACTTTTTTACTCATTTTAAATCAGTTTTTGCCGTGCAATTCCTTAGACATAATTACTCCATATGCTTAAACAAAAACTATTCAAACTTGGTAAAATAATGTGATATACATCAAGTATCTGTCCTTATAGTTTTTTTGGCAATACTTTTTGGGCCTAAATAGAATTCCTGCACTAGTCAGAAAGAGCAGACATAAATAGACTTGAGCGCCATCTGCCAGCAGTATTATGGAACTATCTAGACACAGCTAATTAATGGAGCCGGTAAGTCCTCCAATGCCATGCGTTGAAGCAAAGGCAAGGCAGGGTTAGATGCCAACCTTTATAAATTAAATAAATTAATCTACAGCAACTACCCAGAGCAACATCACAGAAACAGAAAATGCCTATCCCTAACAAACCAGGTGACACAGCATCAAGCTAAGAAATATTTGAATTAAATAAATAATTAAAACATCATTGGCTAAAACATTTCCATTTGGATTAAGGCAAATAAAATAGCATAAAGGCCATTTTCCAGTAAGTGCATTGTTGAGACCTTATTTGAATATTATCTTGAGAAGGCTTCTGGTGTCTAGCAGCTTTGTTTATTTAAATCAGTCAGTCTATCTATTTATGACGTGATTTGTATGTAGACTGTAGAGACCAAGTATAGCTATATAATCAGTAGGATAAGTACTACTGAGCTCTTACCTATCCATCAACTTCACAGCGATATCAAAAAGGCCTATGCGGCTTTAGCCCTGCCTAAAGGAAAAACAAAGTTTACACCTTATTCTGAGTGCTATTTAAGGCTTGTCCAGCTTGAAAACTTTTTTTTTTGCATTATTTTAACCCTGCTGGGAGTTCTACGCTAGCTCGCCTCCATTGGTTCAGCTTGTTTACCAACTATGCGCATGTACATTATTGTACCTCCAGTCAACAGGTGTTATTTTTATAACCAACAAATTGAGCAAAAACTAAAATAACACACCAAAAACAAATACTACAGCAGCAGGATGTGGTAATGCAACCAGAGGAAGATATTGCTGTAAATATTTTAAAAAGTAATAGAATGAGACTAGGTCCCTCTGAAGCTGTAAAATGAAATGTATTATTTTAACTCATATCATCTCTCACACATTACAGCTTTTTTAGTCACGATATAACTATTCATATCTGGTCTTTGTTTCTATTTCCTGTAGATGTCAAGAATCGATGTCCCAAATGGGATCAGGAGGACTTAAAGCCACTGGTTATCAAAGAGGAACAGGATGATTCTGAGATCATTGAATTTATATTCAGTCCTGTTCCTGTCAAGATGGACGATGATGAAGAGAAACCTCGGCTTTCAGAGCTTCATAAGACTCAGACTGAGGTGAACACAGACTCTGCGGGTGAAGAATCAGATGAGCACAGAGCCTCAGATTCTTCAGAGACGGACGTCAGTGATGGAAACTTCGAGGAGAACACGGACCCTCAATCAGTTGTAGACTTTGGACAGATCAACACCTTTCCCGTAGATGATGCAAGATGCGAAACAGGTGAGCAGTTACTCAGGTGTAGTGAATGTGGCAAAACATTTAATCGCAGACGAAATTTGTTAAGACACAGCAGAATCCACACAGGAGTAAAACCCTTCAGCTGTTCGACCTGTAGCAAAGCTTTCATATGGAAAAGGGACCTGACTCAACACATGAGAATACACAGTGAAGAGAAACCTTTCAGTTGCTCTGTCTGTGGGAAACAGTTTAGAAGAAAGGAAAATGTACGTTGTCATATGAGAATTCACACCAGAGGGAAAACCTTCTGCTGCTCCATTTGTGGAGCAAAGTTCTTAAGGAAGGGAACCTTAACTTCTCACATGGTATGTCATAGCGAAGACAAACCTTTCAGCTGTTCTGTGTGTGGACAATCGTTTAAGAGGAAAGAAGATGTAACCCGGCACATGTTACGGCACACTGAAGACAAACCCTTTAGCTGCTCCATATGTGGACAAAAATCTAAAAGGAAAGAGGACCTAAATCGGCACATGGTGTGTCACACTGAAGACAAACCCTTTAGCTGCTCCATCTGCGATCAGAAGTTCAAAAGGAAAGAAGGTGTAACTCATCACATGAAAAGTCACACTGAGGAGAAACCTTTTAGCTGCTCAGTCTGTGGGAAGAAGTTTAAAAGGAGAGAGAGTATGCCACGGCACATGATACTACACACTGAAGAAAAACCATACAGCTGTTCGGTATGCGGGAAAAAGTTTGTTCGTAAAGAAAGTTTGATAAATCACATGTCTCACCATACTTCAGAAAACCCCTACAGCTGCTCTGTCTGTAATAAAGCTTTTACTTTGAAAGTAACTCTGATAAAACATACCCGGTTCCACAGAGAGGACAGACAGTTCAGCTGTTCTGTCTGCAAAGCATCTTTCAAAAAGAAATCCTCCCTGGCTGTTCACGTTAAGATCCACACTGGAGAGAAGCCTTACAGCTGCTCGACCTGCGGCCGGAGCTTCGGTCAGGGCGCATCTCTGAAGCGCCACATGAGACGGCACTCTGAAGAAAAGCCTTTCAGCTGTCCCTATTGTAATGTCAAGTTCAAATGGAAAAGTGCTTGTGTAAAGCATATAAAAAAACATGGAGCTGAATAGCTTATTGGCTTCACATACAAGCTACGGTAAGATTAGATATAAGTCTTGTAAAAAGTTTCATTAGCTGCTCTGCTAGAGCAGATTTGAAAAAAAAAGGTTTGGTGATTTTGCTCCTTCCCCATATTCGTAAATTTAATTACGCATTGAATATTGATTTAAAGTTATTTTAACTTTTGTTTGTTATAGCTAACTGCCTTAAAAGGAGGGAATATGACTCCAATTCATAAAACCAGGAGATTGTTAGAATTGTTTGGTTTCGCCATAGAGTCATGATCTGTCATAGCTTATGTTATAACTAGTCTAATTAGTTCAAAACTAAATTGAATGGAAATGACAGACTATTATTGTTTCTTTTTCACAAAGCAATATTGCTTTTTTCTTAAATATAAAAGGAACGAGGAAGGCACAAAATTGGTGTGGGTTGATGCCTATGAATTGGGACTACAATTTGGTGAAGATACAAATTGCAGCAGACATTGAAGAGAAGCCATTCATCACGGGTAAATAAATAACACTGTTCAGCCGTCACTGATTAATGAACACCAGTGTTGATGTTTAGGCAGCTGCAAGGAGCTGAACTCTTAAAAATGTTTTGTGTTGCTATTGGATATTCTTAAGAAAAGTCTTCTTCTTGGTGAGCATTATTTAGCGTATTTTACATCTGAAATAAACACTTCATCTCTGATCTCTGCATGTGTAGTATTCATTACAATTGAAGTGTGTAAAATATTGAATCCAAATACATTTGTATGATTTAGCTTTATATTGAATAATAATAAAACAGAACTTGTAAATAATGAAGATGGTCTAATTTCTATTTTGTGATCATATTGATCCAATTTAAACTTAATATAATTTCTCAAAATAAGTGCTATGTTACCATTATTATTCTTTGAAGTTACTTCCTTTTGATTTATTGCAGTCAGGGGTCATTTGATTAAAACAATTTTTCTTCTATAAACATGTTTTTTATATGAATAGTGTATTTTATATTATCTTGCAGTAAAATCATTTGCTTAGTTTATTAAGGCTTATTCCTTAAAACAAATTAAAATTGAAGAATCAACGGAGAAAGGACATCACTCCATATAGATTATTATTGAAATTGAAAGACGTAATCATTTAGCTTTATTTAGAAGCCTCTGTTATTTTATGCAAGGTCTTTGTAAAACAACTTTCGTACCCGGTTCGATCCCCACATCCTGGGTCCCTGAGCAAGACCTTTAACCCCACACTGCTCCCCGGGTGCCACACCATGGCAGCCCGCTGCTCCCCAAGGGGATGGGTTAAATGCATAGAGTAAATTTCCCCATTGTGGGGCAATAAAGGGATTTACTTTACACAATTCCTTCCACTAAAAGGCATACAATAGTGCCTGTAACAGTTTTACACTGGCTGTAAACAGAAGATAAAGTTCAATTTCTAATACTGACAGACCTATGACAGTTCAGCATTGCTTTTAGGAGCTAAACAATCGCTCTTCATCAGGGACTACTAAGACTAAGACTACTGTTTCCCGCTAAGCGAGTTGCTCAAATATTCCATGTTCCTGGTCCTAGTTACTTCCCAACAGCCAGCGCTGTTCATATAGCACTATTCACTTATTGCGGCGATCACAGATACACATCCACCATAGCTTAGAAGAAACGGCAGTACAAAGCTTCTTGCTTAGGACCTTAGTTAATGTAAGAAAATATGATCGATTCCCTTAAATTGTTTTCAATCAAAAAGGGCGAGGTAAATATGCGGCCTTAGAAAACCTTTTGGTACAGGTTGATTTTAGTCTTCCAGTCTGCATGTGTGCTACCGGTTTCCAGGTGGTAAGTTACATTACTTCTGCAGATGTCTTTAATGACAGCAGTTTTTTGCTCAGCTGCATCAGCGTTTGCTGTAGTGTTGCGCCGATGCCATTTTTTTCCCCAATACGTGATACCTGGCTGTGCAGTATTGGCTGATAAAGATATCATACCGATACTATCTGTTTGAAATTGATGTTTGTGTATATATATATGAAGAACTGCATACTACTTGGATGTAAAATAATAGCCATCATGGCTTATCAAGCTGCTGCCTACCTTTGTGAAGCAGGAAAAAGACTAATACAAAGTGAATCCAGTAGAATTTTTTATTGCCGACCTGGAATGGGTGACAATAGTTAAATAACTTTTGGCTCTCAAAATCGTATCGGTGCCCTATTTTTGGTACTTGCTGATACTGATACCACCATTGTATCTGGGCCTACCCGATACTGGTAAAGGTATCGGTGCAACACTATTTGCTAACAAGAATATTTTTAAATAAACACTGATTATTGCGTTTCCCTTATAAACCTTTTAAACTTGGACTGAGTGATGATTCGTGCGGTGAAAAAAGTCCTTACTCAAACGGGCATTTAAAATTTAGGCATCTGAGACGATGTATAAACTGAAGTCAGTGCATTTTCCTTTTCCACAGATTATTTATCTTGGTTATCTTCCCTCAACAATAGTTTATATTCCTCTACTCTGTATTTACAAACAATAGTAAAATAATGATCATCATTAGTGTTGCACCGATACTGATACCAGTATCGGACGGGGCCCCGATACTGCCCTAAAATGGTGGTATCGGTATCGGCGAGTACCAACAAATAGGGCACCGATACCATTTTGAGAGCCATAAGTTTATTCAACTATTGTCACCCACTCCTGGTAGGTAATAAAAAGTTCTACTGGATTCCCTTTGTATTAGATTTTCTCCTGCTTCACAAAGGTAGGCAGCAGCTTGACAAAGCCATGATGGTAATTATTTTACATTATTATGGTATCGGTATCGGCCTATACTACACAGCCTGGTATCGGTATCTGGGCCAAAAAATGGCATCGGCGCAACACTAATCATCATCAGCAAGTTTTTTGTTTTTCTTTAACAGCAGAACTTAAAAGTCAACAGACCAACTTTAATTTGAGAAAGTGAGACTTGAGAAAATTGTGCAAGTTATTTAAATATAATTTTAGCTCCAAATTTCAACATCATAAGCAGTTAAGAATGTTGTGCAATTAGGTTCATTTTATTGTTAATATAGATTAACTTAAAAATTTGAATTTCTTTGACTTTTATTTTAAAAATATCCACAATTAATAGATATTTTAGATAAGTGTGACTAGTGCCTACAAGCCTTTAATGAGTTTTGTTAACATTTATTAACTTAATTTAGAATTAAATGTGGGTATTAAACCAGTTGTGAACCTGTGTTTTGTTTTAACACACTTAAACATTTATAACTGCTAATGGTAATTATTAATCAGTAACAAAACCTCAAATGTATTTATACAATCAAGTTGTTAACTAAAAAGAAATGATTAATCACCAACCAAGAGATGCCAGATCACTTGTAAAAAAAAAAAAAAAGCACAGACACATCTACTTTATACTAAAACGGATTAAAATGTAATTATTCCTGTTACAATAAATTATTCTGTTGAATACCACTCAGCTAAAATACCAAGGAAGAAAAAAATGCAAAACAGGGTCAGCAGAGTGCTGAATTTGGATTGCTGCAATTCTGAGAGAGTTAAACAAATTATCAAGCTTAGAGCAACAAGAGGCTAACAGCTAGGGGTGCATGGTATTTATTGGACAGATAAAGTATTGACCGATTTTACTGAATTTTTTATCAGCTTGTTACTTACATTTTTCCGATTAAAAATAGCCGATAAATCTATTTAATTTGGTGCGATTTTTATTCATGTTGAGCAGCCCCAAAGCGGAGTTTTGCACTTCATACTACCAGGACCTAAGTGTGGCTCATTCATTAGCTGAATCTATATTGGTATCGGTCATGAAAAGCAGAGAGATACCTGTATCAGTTGTAACCTTGATGAAACTAAAGTTGGAACAGAGAAATATTGTATTGATCCCCTTTATTATGTTCCAAAAGAGCTGTTATGTTGGGTGAAATTTCAATAACAGGTTGCTGTAAAGGTTTTTCTATTTTTAGAAAGCCTTTTTTTTAACTAACATCTATAGTTATGATCGGTTCTAAACTGTTTCGGTGGGTGACCGCCCCATGATGGTGGGGTCTACTTATCTCTTGCAACTTTGTTTAAACTTTTTTTCCCTTTCCATATTGGAAGCCTCTATGACCTTCCTTACAATGCCTGGGCATGCTCCTGATAAGGTGGCTAATGGTCTCCTGAGGGATCTCCTCCCGATTTCCTCCCCGACCTGGACTAAAGCATCCACCAACTCCTGGACAGTCTGTGGTGCAATGTGATGGTGGATTGATCGAGAAATGATGTCCCAGATGTGCTCAGTCAGATTCAGGCCTGGGCAACCGATGGGCCAGTCCATAGTTTCAATGCCTTCATCTTGCTGGAACTGCTTACAAATTCCATGCACAGGAGGACTAGCGTTGGCCTGCATTAGGAGGAACCCAGGGCCAACCACACCAGCATATGGTCTCACAAGGCATCTAACAAACTCAGTACCTCATGACAAACATACTACCTCTGGAGAGCACATGTAGGGCTGTGCGGCCCTCCAAAGAAATGGAGGGCAGCATACCCCACACCATTACTAACCCAGTACCAACTGGTCATGCTGATGGCTGTTGCAGGCAGCAGAATGCTCTCCACTGTGTCTCTAGACCCTGTCACGTCTGTCACGTGCTCAGTGTGAACCTGATTTAATCACAGGGCACCAATGGCGAATTTGCGTATCAGGGTATCCTGCAGGGTGTTGGGCTCTGAGTACATTCCCCATCTATGGATGTTGGGCCCTTATACTATCCTCATGGAGTCCGTTTCTAACCGTTTGTGCACATGCATATTTGTGGCCTGCTAGAGGTAATTTTTCAGGGCTCTGACAGTACTCCTTCCTGTTCCTCCTTGCAAAAAGGCCGAGGTTGTGGTCCTGCTGCTGATGTTGGGCCCTCATACCACCCTCATGGAGTCGGTTTCTAACTGGTTGTGCACATGCACATTTGTGGCCCGCTGGAAGTAATTGTTCAGGGTTCTGGCAGTGCTCCTCCTCTTTTTCCTTGCAAAAAGGCAGAGGTAGTGGTCCTGCTGCTGGGTTGTTGCCCTCCTATGGCCTCCTTCACATCTCCTGGTGTACTGGCCTTTCTCCTGGGAGCTCGTCCAGCCGCTGCACACTATGCTGACAGACACAGCTCTCATTGATGTGCCATCCTGGATCATCTGCAATACCTGAGCCACTTTTTTGGGTTGTAGAGTTTGTCTCATGCTACCATGAGTGTGAACGCATCACCAACATTAAAAAGTGACCCAAACATCAGCCAGAAAGCATAGGTAATGAAAAGGGGACTGTGGTGCCCACTTGCAGAACCACTCCTTTATTTAGTGTGTCTTGATTTCCATCTGTTGTATAATCCATTTGCACAACAGCATGTGAATTTGTCAATCAATGTCAGTCTAGAAAAGGGATTCAAAGTGTGATAAGAATATTACATCCTGCAAGACATTTGAGTGGAAATTGATTGCTAAGGCCATCTGTGTTTGTGTTTCCTGTAGGCAACCCGCAGCTTAGGCTGATAAAAATGGAGCTTCCTGCTGAGGAGCAGAACCTGAGGCCCAGCCTGGACCAGAAGGACCTAAAACTCCCACGGATTAAAGAGGAAGAGCACAATGCTGAGGTCACGCAGTTCATATTCAATCCTGTATCTGTTAAGAGTGAAGATGATGAAGAGAAACCTCAGCTCTCAAAGCTCCATCACAAACAGCCTGACAAAAACAGACTCTCTACCGGACAGGAAGACATTTTACGATCAAATAACGTAGATGAAGCTATTGACTCTTCAGACACTGATGTCAGTGATGGTAATTGGGAGGAGAGCAGTGAAGTTCAGTCAGGTTTGGGCTCCATAGAAACTAGAACTGGTGATCTAAGATGTATGAGAGGTGAGGTGTTACACAGCTGCAAAGAATGTGGTAAAATATTTAGCCACAGAAGAAATTTGTTAAGACATAACATAATCCACACAGGAACAAAACCCTTCAACTGCTCCATCTGTAGCAAAGCTTTCATATGGAAGGGGGGTTTTGTGCAACACATGAGAACACATAGTGAAGAGAAACCTTTCAGCTGCTCCACCTGTGGAAGAAGTTTCAAGAACAAGGAGAATCTGAATCGACACATGAAAGTCCACACTACAGAGAGACCTTTCAGCTGCTCAGACTGTGGAAAACAGTTCAAAAGCCAGGAAACTGTAACTTCCCACATGAGAAGTCACACAAAAGAAAAACCTTTTAGCTGCTCCATCTGTGGAAAAAAGTTTAAAAGAAAAGCTAGTGTACAGCAGCACACAAAAAGTCACACTGAGGAAAAACCTTTCAGCTGCTCAGTCTGTGGGAAAAAGTTCAAGCGGAGTGATAGTGTACCCCGGCACATGATACTACACACTGAAGACAAACCTTTCAGCTGCTCAGTATGTGGGAAAAAGTTTGTTCGAAAAGAAAGTTTGGTAAATCACATGTCTCACCACACATCAGAAAAACCCTACAGCTGCTCAGTCTGTAATAAAGCTTTTACCTCAAAAGTTACTCTGATAAAACACACCCGGTTCCACAGAGAGGACAGACAATTTAGCTGTTCTGTTTGTAAAGCCTCTTTCAAAGAAAGATCCTCCCTGGCTGTTCACATTAAGATTCACACTGGAGAGAAGCCTTTCAGCTGCTCAACCTGTGGCCGTAGCTTTGGTCAAAGCTCAACTCTGAAGCGCCACATGAGACGACACACTGAAGAAAAACCTTTCAGCTGTCCCTATTGTAATGTCAAGTTCAAATGGAAAAATGCTTGTGTAAAGCATATAAAAAAACATGGAGCTGAATAGCTTTTTGGCTTCACATACAAGCTACGGTAAGATTAGATATAAGTCTGTTAAAAAGTTTCATCAGCTGCTCTGTTACAGCAGATTTTGAAGGAGAAAATTTGAAGTAATTTTGCTCCCTCTCTGTTATTTTATAATTTTCATTTTTCCTTTTATGTTAGTCATCGCTAACTACCTGAAAATTAGGTCATATTTGAGAGATTTGAAAGAGATTTGTTTGATTTTACGATAGAATCATGATCTGTCAAAGCTTATAACTAGCCCAATCAGATAAAAACTAAATTGAAAGGAAAAGACAGAATATATTGTTACTTTGTCACAAATCAATATAGCTTATAATTAGGTTATAGGCAGGTTTTGATCTTGGCACGACAAATGCAAAACTTAAGTTGATTGTACGAATCAGGATATTTTTTTTTATTATTACGACAGGAACTAGGAAGGAACAACAATGGTGTGGGTGGAAGCCTATGAATTGGGACACATTGCAGCAGAAATAGGAGTGAAGTATTTCATAACCAGTAAATAAATAAAAATGTTCAGCTGTCATTGATTAAAGGACATCAGTGTCTGTTCAGGCAGCTGCAAGGAGCTGAACTCCTTAAAAGTTGTTTGTGGCAGTTCCTTTAAGAGACGGAAAATATGGAGCCAGAAAATACATTGTTTAATTTTAACTTTCTAAAGAGAAGTCAGCTTGATGAGCGTTATTTACCTGATTATACATCTGAAATAAACTCCACTGATCTCTGTATATGTGGCATTAGTTTTAATTGAAGTGAGTAAAATACTGAAGGCAACATTTGTTCGTGTAACTTAGTTTAAAATTGCATGAAGATTAAAAATATATATAATTAAGAATAAGTTTATATTTTGTGATTGCACTTACCTTACTGTCATTTATCTTTTTTCCCCCCAGAAAAATAAGTTAATCTGGATTTGGACTCATTGAATTTAAAATATTTTCATTCTACACACATTTCTTTTGTTTTATTGTTGTATATTTGATGTTATCTTGCAGTATTCTAGTATTCCAATTAAACAATTTTCACATTAACGAACCAATAGGATGATCGTATTACTTCTGATAGATTTTTGTGAAGAAGAAAAGAAAAAAAAAAACAATTTTAACAAGTGTTTCATGTTCAATCAACTGAATTTCCCCCAGGTGGAGGTCTAATAAAGGTGTTCAAAACACCTACTTCTCAGCTACTCCTTTACTGTAGGTCATAGAAAAGGGTGTGAATACTTATGTGCCTATTATGTTTGCACTGTTTGTAAAGTCTTAAAGAAAAATCTTATATATTGCTTTTGTTTGTCATTATTTGACCTTTGTCTTTTTTTAAGATGATGATTAAGTTTGTAAAAAATAAATAAAAGCAACTTAAAATTAAGGGGTAATAATATTTTCTGGTGGCACTGAGGAGCTGATTGAAAAAATGAAATCTTTAAATAAAAATTATATATTATACAGTTGGGTCATTGGTAGTTATGGTCTTAGATGGACCACTGTTATACTTACTGGCTCTCTCTGGGCACTCAAAGGGCTTTCTGCATATGAAAAACCAGAAGGTTAGATTTCATAGGTTTCTATCCTGCTCCCAATAACTGCTTGAGATGGGTTCCAAACCCCTGGCATCACTGTAGCAAAGGTAGGTATAGAAAATGGTGTCAGAGTCTTTGACCTGCTTTCTGTTTGCTTTTGGAAATGGATGAAAGTTAGATCATAAAAGTTATGTATGTATGTATGTATATATATATAAATGACCTTATTTAAGCTTTTCAGTACTGAAATCCAACCTTACAGAGGTACAGCTGCTAACATTCAGTTTGGTTATCAAATATATTCAAATTATAAACTGCATTACTTTAGGGTAAAATTATCACTGAAACATTTCCTTTCTTTTGGAAATACATTTTTTTTATATTTTTTTTTAGAGGTAAACAGTGATTATACCATTTGTATCACAGAGGGTTTAAAGACACGCACATTTCTTTGTTTTATTATTATTATTAACTATGATAAGATTGTCCTGAAACGATACCATAATATCGTTAGAAGTATAATTTTAGAATTAGTATTATCTTAGAAGTATTATTTTCTCCAGTTCTTTTTCTCAAGCTTGATTTAACTATGATGAAGCTTTTATTTTGAAGGACAATGATCTCACCAGCGGAAGTGATTATCTTCTAACAGTTGGAGCTGGTAGTTTTAAAAAATATAATTGTTTACCCAGTTTGACGTTTCAACCTTATGTTATTTTGTGTTCCGTAAAGGAAGAGCAGTGCGGTTTTTGGCATCACGTATGAATAATTATTATTCGTTCATATTAGATTTCTGTGCGGAGCATCAGACGAGCTTAAGGTTAGCTTAGCTCGTTAGCATCAGCCTTCAGTCATCTGTAGGGAACACAGTAATCACTGTCAGTAAAGTATGTTGTTTCTGGAGGAGTTAAAGGGGAGGAACTTTGCTCCTGTGATTGTGGAATAAACCATTAGGAGGAAACAAAGTGCCAGATGGAGGAACACAGTGAGGAGATTGACTCCCATGGTAACCATCCTTTTTCCTTAAACTGTCAGCAAATTATGATTTAAAATGTCAAATAAGAAAGCCTAAAACACAAGACAAAAGTAAATCAAAGCAATATTATACTTTTTCTTATAATTACTAGCACATAAATCTACTTATCTGAATATGCAGTGTATTTAAAGGATCTGGATGTGAAAAATCAGACTTTTATCTTCATTTATAAGTGTTAAGGTAATAAAAAATTTACAGACGTAAAATTTTATCCCTCATTGTTAAAAGTAGATTGAGCATAAACTTAAGAAAGATTGCACATATTTGTGGAGGATTTCCTGGTTTATCATCAGCTATCAGTCAAACAGAAGAACACAATCATAAAAAATAAAACACTCTCCTGTAGTAAATAAAGAGTGAATGTTAATTCTAATTTGAAAAACCTTATTTAATTATTAAACCTGTTCAGATTTTGCATATGTCGTTTGAGAAATATAACCACATGAATACAAAAACTAGTTAAACATCCTTTGACCAGCCCTGTGGATTTACCTGTAATTTTCTGTAATCTGGAAGTAAATAGTAGTAATAGTAGTAGTAATAGTAGTTTCATTTCTAAAAAAAAAAAAAAAAAATTATTAGCATATATGAACTTAAATTATTTTGAGTTGATTATCAGGCATCATAATCAGGTTAAAAGACCCAAATATATATCAGAATAGAGAAAATACAAAGTTTACAGACAAATTTGTTAAATAAGTTGCAATGTGTTTTTTTTATTTTTTTTTTTACTTCTTTCATTATAAAATATTTTTAAAAACTAACTGTAAAAGAAAATATATGGCATGATTTAAGGAAATTGATATGAAATGGTTTTAAGAGGAACACAATGTTTGTATGCATGAAACAGGAAATTTGTGAATTTCCTAATAACGGGATCACTTCTGCAAGACAGGGTCATTTTCTTTTAAAGCTTGTCAACAAATACTATCCAATATCCGTATTGTGAAGAAAACAGGTGTAAACAGAACAGTCTACCTGGGAGATTTGGATGACCATAAACTGTAGGTCTGGTTTTATTGTTTTCAGCATAAAGTCTAGTGACCATTGTTTTATTTATTAGTAGATGGAAAGATAAAAAGAAAAAAACAGGAGAAAACAGCTCTAAATTCAAACCTTGGTTAGCTGCATTAAGGACTAAGGCCTCCGTTTATGGGTCACTAGCTCTACCCCTGTACCATCATCCTTCCAAACTAAAAATCTTATAAAGGGAAAGTCAAAAAGCCACATTTTGGATTTATTAATTCATTAGATTAATTTTGCCTAATTAAATGAATTGCATCTTGTGGTAATATCCTAGCTATTCATGTTGTCTTTTATTGTATCCATGTTTGTTTTTACTGCAGATGTCAAGCAGGTGTCTATAATCAAAGAGGAGCTGCAAGTTCAGGAGCAGAATGAGAGTCCCGGACTGCAGCAGCAGGACCAGAGGCCCCCACAGATTAAAGAAGAAGAGGAGGATGCTGAGATCATGCAGTTAATATTTGATCCTGCGTTTATAAAGAGCGAAGATGATGAAGAGAAAGCTCTGCTCGCCGAGCTTCATCACAGTGCTGAGCAGAACAGAGACGATGAAGGACCAGAACTAGATGAGTGTTCAGAAACCGAAAAGGAAGACAAAACCTCTGACTCCTCACAAACAGACGTCAGTGATGGAAACTGGGAGGAGAGCAGCGAATCTGGTTCAGACTCTGTGAGAAATACATTTCCTGCTGATGATGGAACTTGTGAGAGAAAAGAAAAAGTCCACATCTGTGGTGAGTGTGGTAAAGTATTCAAACGCAGATCGTGTTTGGTACGACACAACATAATCCACTCCGGAGAGAAACCGTTCAGCTGCTCCATCTGTAGCAAAGCTTTCACCTGGAAGCGAGGCTTAGTGATACACATGAGAACGCACAGTGGAGAGAAACCTTTCAGTTGCTCACTGTGTGGTCAGAGGTTCTCAAGGAAGGAGTCGGTCACGTCTCACATGAGATGTCACTCAAGTGAAAAACCTTTCAGCTGCTCCGTGTGTGGGAAAAAGTTTAACAGGAAGGAAAATGTTATTCGTCACATGAGGTGCCACACTGAAGAAAAACCATTCAGCTGCTCCGTCTGTGGACAAAAGTTTGGAAGGAAAGAGAGTTTAAGCTATCACATGACGCACCACACTACAGAGAAACCCTACAACTGCTCCGTCTGCAACAAGGCTTTTACTCTGAAAGTAACTTTAATGGAACATACAAGGTTCCACACAGAGGACAGACCATTCAGCTGTTCTGTCTGCAAAACCGCCTTTAAAAGAAAAGCCTATTTGACAGAACACAAAAAAACCCACACGGGAGAGAAGCCTTTCAGCTGTTCTGTTTGCGGCCGAAGCTTCCGACAGTCCAACAGCCTGAAGCGTCACATGAAGAGTCACACAGAGGAAAAACCGTTCAGCTGCCCTGTCTGTCAGGCGACATTCAAATGGAAAAGTGCTTGTGTAAAACACGTGAAAAACCACACTGGTGAATAACTAGTAAAGTAAAGATGCTGCAGCTTCTGCTTATTATTGGGTTTTCATTTAACCAACACAAACTAGTCGATAATTGCATGAAGGACGGTGAGACCTTTGCTATATTATTTAATCGCTATCACTTAATTGCAGTTGAATTCACAGTGGGCAACATGATCAGTTCTTAGGTTTTGGGAGGAATTGGTATTTTGACAAAAGGCCAGGAAGTGGGTCAGAAATGATATGAGGATGGATCGAGCTAAATACTGGCCAAACCTGTGTCGGGACATTGATCCATTCTTTAAGCTAGAATATTGCTCAAATAAATATTTATATCCTGTATAGCACTTCTGGATAAATGTGAACTACATTTCATTGATTTGTACTTGAAACAATAAAATTTAAAAGTTGAACTCTATTCTAAGTGAATTGAATTTGGTAACTCAATTACCATGGTGAAACAATAAAGTTTAATTATAGACTGTTTAATTCTTAATTTGGATATTTTTCAGCTTTCAGTTCATGAGAACACAATATTTAAAATTACATTACATAAGAACAATTAAAACACATGTAAAACAGAAATGTGGATTTCCTGAAAAGTATGTTTTATACTTGGTTAAATGATTGTAACTCAGCCCAGAAGTATGAGGTTATGGATTTATTAAAAGCATGGGGTCAGTTGTCAGTGTCCCAGTCATAATTCAGACGTGTGAGAATCTGCTGAAAGTTAAATATTGACACTATGTGAAATTGTGTATTTGTAATCTAATATATTTGTATATTTTAAAAATCATAAAAACTCGGATTATTTGGTTCGAAATAGAAAAAGTGAACATTTCTGGGTTGCTTTTGCAAAGAATCTCTGTGGAAACAGTATAACATCACTGTTACTGGGTTTAAGTTTTTTGACTCACTGCTGTTATCTGAAATAAACTGCATGTCTGATTCTCATGAGTGTTTAAATTGTTTTAATATAAACACATCTTAATCCCCTCACAACTGTACAGGGGAATGAGTTTAGGTTATATGGAAAAAGATTAGGGCCAAACAGATTTTTTACATTTTACTTCAGTTTAATATGGGGAAAAAAGTCAGAATTCTGAGCAAATTCTGACTTTTTTCTCAGAATTCTGATATTAATCTCAGCTTTATGACTTTAATCTCAGAATTTTGACTTTTTCTCAGAATTCTGACTTTTTTCTTAAAATTTCTGAATTTTTTCTCACTGACTTTAATCTCAGAATTCTGACTAATCTCAGAATCCTGGCTTTTTTCTTATATTATACAGAAATAAAATATAAAAATCAGTTTACTTTTTAATTTTTTCAGTGGCCCTAATCCTCTTCCGTAAGGTTAACCACTAATGCATAAATAAAAATTTCAAGGCGAACGGTGATCTTAGCAACTGTAAACCTGCATCATTCAAGTAATACAAATACAATAAGACGTGACATTGTTAGAGGTTTATTCATCTGATTATGAAATACAAATTTAGAGGCAGTGATATTAACACTGCATTCATCAGACGTCCTCTGAGATACAGTGCATACAAGTGTTCACAGGGCTGTTTTCAGTTATGTGTGAAAACAGGTTTCTCTGAAATACAAGCCTCATTTCAGTGATTAATCTCTTTCCTGGAAATTCAACACACAAAGCCTGTAAACACCTTGTTGAGGTTGTAAAAATTATTTAAAAAAATAGAAAACCAAGACAGCGTCCACCATGGAAAAGATCATAAGTCAATCTCGGAGACAGACTTGGGCAGACAAGCATTAATGCACAACAAAAAAATTTTACTTAAAAAAAATAAAGTAAATGGAAATAGACATAAACATGAGTGTGATTCCATTTAAAAATACTTTATTAGTCCTAAAGGGAAATTAAATTGAATTGAAAGGATTCAATTCAGTTTGTTTTGTGCCAATTTTAAGCACATGTCACCTTAAGGCAATTTACAGGTTGGATACCATCATACAGACTGATCTGTAAAAAGTTTTCTATCTAATGAAAAACAGCTGATTGCATCAAGTTATTGACTTTGCAGGATTCACTCCTCCTGTATGAGCGTGTGGCAACAGGAAACATTTACTTGCATTTTGTCACTGATTCTTCAGTAATTCCTCACAACATACATGCATTCAGGAAAAACCGAGAGGAAAAATTACCTTTCAACAGGAAGGAACCTCAGGCAGCAACAGACTTAGTGTAAGTGGCCTTCTGCCGAGGTTGACTGAGGTTCAAGGAGATAGAAGTAGTCAAAAAAAACGAACATAGAAGCACTGATCTATAGATACTTTCTATATTACTGTAGAAGAGGTAACTTTAACAAGCTCCATAGGTGGCTCTGTCAAGGAGAGAAACAGTTTACAGATGGGCTCTGAGCCCATAGTGATGTCTTAGAGCGAAACAGGACTAAGCACTGAAAAACAGGCCCAACTCTTATCATTTATAATCAAAGCTGTTGATGGCATCAGCCCAGCTGATATCTCCTTAATATATTGATGATCAAAGCACTGTTAGGATGTATCTCACCAGGAAGATTTTCCATCAAAGTTTTAATTAAAGAAACATAAAGTTGTATTAAATGATAACAAGGTCTCTCTGACTTTTTGTATAAGAAATATTTTTTTTCGCAAACATGTAGGGACCAGTTTACTCTTTTCCTTAATGATCATAAACTTACTGCTGGTCCTTTTCCATACAATGTTGATGTATCTCCAAATCTAAGAAAAGGCTGCAATGTTACCTTCTCCCTAAAATGTGCAGCTTTACTGGTTAAGTAGAGTCAAAGAAGATCAAACATACCTCAGAGGAAATATTATACTCTATGAACCCTTTGGAGTTGTTGGTCTAATTGAGATCTATGTGTCCGTTGAGATAAAAGAAACACACCACTCTGCACTGTAAGCAGATGATAAAATCCAGTTCCCGTCAAGTGCTTTAATTTATTTCCATTAGTTACATGAAGGATTCTTAGTGAGCACCCTTTATGTGCCAAAACTACTCTTTTTTTAGAAGAAATACGGATTCTATAGTGGGTGTCAATATGAAGGCTATAACTGTACTGATTTGAAAGTCAAAATGACGGTAAACGTACGTGATAAAAGCACGTGAAAAAGTTTCCTTTGAAGAATAATTTCGGGTAGGGGTTTACAAGCAAGGGTATCAGTGTCCTTTTAAACAGCACAGGGCTCTATGTCAGGGCTTAGTTGAGATCAGTCAAGTTTTTGTTTGTGTGTGTGTACTTGTGTATATTTATTAAGTGCAGTGTTAGCTCAGCCCGATCCGTACCCCAGAAAATTAGTCCAAAAGAAGAAGACCAGAGAACTATGGACGTGTTTGATTTCAAAGGCTGCATCCTCCAAGGACCCGGTCTACCAGGACTGGATCCTTCGAAGTCCATCAAAATAGGGAGGCTGGAAGAGTTTTGGCTGTGGATTCAAACAGGTCCAGCCTTCTTCGTCATTCACCGACCGTAAAGCATTTTTGCCTCGCAACAGTGACAGTTAACATTAAAATCAAGCAAAGAACCAAATTTCTCACTACTGTTCTGGGTGCCAATAACATTATCGAGGCATTTTAGCAGCAGTACAGTATCATATTTATAGTCCACACACTGCAGATATTTTAGAATCTGAGCTCAGACGTCAGCCAAACCCATTTCCAATAGCCTTTCAATAAACCAAACATTATCCGCCACATATCTGACTCAATGACCATTAAAATAACTATTTTCATCAATTTATAATAAACTGCACTTACAATATTCACCACTGTTAGGCACCATTTACCATTTTCCTCTGAGCACGGAGCATCTGGTGTTTAGTCACAACATCATTGCTGCGATCGAATTCAGGGGCTGCGTCCTCCAAAGGCCCGATTCATCGGCCGATTAATTCATAGCGCGGCGCCAAAGCCTGTTCGGAATGGAAGACTAACTGTTATGCGGCAAACGCAGCCTTCTTTTTGTTCGTCTGGAAGGACGGTCTGGTGTATCCTACATAGCCTTCGGTATCCCATGATTCACTGGGTGTGTTAGATTTCCGAGGCTGCATCCTCCAAGGACCCGGGCTACCTGGACTGGATCCTTCGAGGGCTGTGAAAATAAAGAGGCCAGAAGAGTTTTAGCTATGGATTCGCACAGGTCCAGCCTTCTCTGGCATTCACGTCCCGTGCGCTCTGTCACCTAGCAGACCAAACTTCTCACTACTGTTCTTGGTGCTAATAACATTTCTGAGGAGCTTCAGCAGCAACGCTGTAGTCATGAATATCAGATTTGCAGTCCCCACACTGCAGACATATTGGAATCTTTGCTTAAATGTCTACCGACTATTAATTACAGACAGAACTATTCACATACTTGTATTATAATAAACTGCAGTTACAATATTCACCACCGCTAGGCGCCATTTACCGTTTTCCTCTGAGCACAGAGCAGCCTGCTTGTTTGGACTCCACCCTGCAGTAATTTTAGCACAAAGGCTGTTCAAGAATAAGGTTCAGTTCTCAGCCTTGTCTTTAAAGAATTGAGAGAAAGAAAGAAACATACATTTGTTGGTGTAATTGTTTCACTAATCAGAAAGTAATACATTTATTTAATCATATTTTGAAGAAATACTGATTTCTACAATCATTAAATATAATATAAATTATAGTTAATTGTTTTCACAGGAACACAGGAAACACATCAGGATTAATTTTTCCCCACTTACAATAAATAGTCCAAAAATTACCCATCCGTATCTCTGGTGTCTTTCCTAAGTGGTTTTTGACAACAAACTCAAATTGGTTCGCCTTTGTGAAACTGAATGCATGAAGTGAAATACTAAACCAAACTAACACATAGAGTTTGTTCAACAAAATCCAATTGATCCCTAAACTCCGCCTTACAAACCGAACAGCAGAGGTTTTTCTCCCGTGTGATAGCTCATGTGGCAGGTCAGACTTGACTTGCGACCAAAGCTTTGTTCACAAAGGGGGCAGTTGTATGGCTTCTCTCCAGTGTGGGTCCTTGTGTGTTCGGCCAATGTGTATTTTCTTCTAAAAGCTGCATTGCAAACAGAACATTTGAAGGGTCGCTCTCCTGTGTGGACCCGATTGTGTCTCAATAGATCCGCCCGGTGTTTAAACGTTTTATTGCACTCAGAGCAGCTGTGTGACTTTTTATCTCTCTCACATGGTGTTTCACTAGCAGGGTCGTTCTTTAGATCCCGATTTGGCTCCAGGGTCAATAATTCTCTGCTCTCCAAGGTTTGTTTGTGAAGAAGTGCTGAAGACTGAGGTTCCTTTTTATTATCATTGTTCATCACAGAGACTTCATGTTCTGGTCTAGGAATCCAGTAGGTCTCCTCTAAAGAAGGCTCCACCTTGATCACCAACACCTGCTGGACACCTGCAGACAATAAATATGGAAGAGTTTCATGTTCATAATGAGATCAAGTTCATTTCAATTCAGTTTATTTATATAGTGCCAATTTACAACACGTCATCTCAAGGCACTTTACAGTTCAACCAGATAATACAGTCAAATTGATTGAAAGTTCTCTATCAAAGGAAAACCAGTTGATTGCATCGACTCATTGACTCAGATGCAATCCCTCACACTAAGCATGCTTGTAGCGACAGTGGAGAGGAAAAACTCCCTTTTAACAGGAAGAAACCTCCAGCAGAACCAGGCTTAGTGTGAGCGGCCATCTCCCGAGGCCGACTGGGGTAAGTTTCATCAAGTGAAATATTTAATCTCTTGCACAGCGCTTCCTCAACAGAATGAGAATAAAGAGGCAATAATTTGTTTGTCAACTAAACTATATGTAGTTCGTCTTCATTTGATCAAATTCAAGAAAAGATATTGACTTATTTTATTAGCATAAATACATTGTGTTTCATTGAATAAACCATTAAAATTAACAGACTGCATAGTTTGGTCATCATAAGATCCATTAGCGGTGTTTGAAAGGTATTTTTTCCACTTGAGGAGTTCTTGATCGAGCATTTTGCAGGCAACCATTTTTTTTTTAATCTTGAATGCAAAGTATTTATTATCTGTCAGCTAAAGATGTGTTTTAGAGCATCTACACTACATTTAACGATTAATCAACAACTAAACTAATTGACAATAATTTCAATAATTTATTTATTTCATTTAATTGTTTCAGCCTTAAATAACAGCATAAGTTACCATAGCTATTGCATACTTTAAGGTAACTATGAACCCAATCAAGCTCACAGTTGATGTACTGAGGAAATCCTTTAATAGATGTGTCTTCATTTTCTTCCGCTGAATCCAAACTAAACTAAAAACCTATTGGAAAGAAGGAAGAGCTTTTTTAAACTAGCAAACTGCTTAACCTATAACAGCTAAAAAAAACCCCAAGAGGCTCATAATCTGGTGGTAGGACTGGACTCAGACGCTCACAAACACAATAACAAATTCGCCTTCTATCAACTAAAGATCATTTCCAGGATTAAAGGATTAATATTTCAACAGGACCTTGAAAAATGAATAATTTACAAAGCAAGGCAAGGCAAATTTATTTGTATAGCACAATTCAGTACAAAGACAATGCAAAGTGCTTTACATGATTAAAATATAGGAAAATAAAACAGAATCAAAGCAAGTAGGGAAAAAAATGCAGAAACAAAAAAGAACATTAAAAACAATTGGACTAAAGAAAATAAAAAAGTTAAACTAATGATGTTTCAGTTGAACTGTTTAACTAGAACAGTTGAAGGCAATCCTAAACAAATGTGTTTTTAGTCTTGATTTGAAGGAACTCAGGCTTTCCACACTTTTACAGTTTTCTGGAAGTTTGTTCCAGATAAGTGGAGCATAGGAACTAAATGCTGCTTCTCCATGTTTAGTTCTGGTTCTAGGTATGCAGAGCAGGCTGGAGATTTATAGACTAACAGAAGTATTTTAAAGTCTATTCTCTGAGATACAGGGAGCCAGTGGAAGGATTTTAGAACTGTTGTGATGTGCTCTACTTTCTTAGTCTTAGTGAGGACATGGGCAGCAGCGTTCTGGATCACCTGCAGCAATCTGATCCACTTTTTAGGCAGACCTGTGAAAACACTGTTGCAGTAATCAATTCGACTAAAACTAAACACATGGATTAGTTTTTCCAGGTGTCCATGAAGCCATCAGAGCGTAGACTAGATGCTTAGAACAGATCAACATGCGCTATAATGTTCTCCATCTGAATAAACACAAAACTGAGGACAAAATATTTGAATCGAAGGAAGAGAGAGCCAGGGTTAGCTCACAGCTTCAGCTATTAAAGCTAGAAACCACTGATTGTGGCTGAAATCTGATGGATTCAGACCTTTAAGCACTTTCATTTGTCCATGTACTGAATTGCTCTAGACAAATAAACTTGCCTTGCATTGATCTTTGTAAGAATTGGTAATTATAATGGTGTCTTCACAGGTCTAACTAAAAAGTCAATTAGTACATGCATGCATGGGGAAGCAGCTTTTAGCTCATATGCTTAACTAGTCTGAAACAAACTACCAGAAACTGTAAATGTGCTAAAACCCAATGTTGCTTTGAATGAAGTTTAAAACCTGTTAGTTTAAAGTGAACTAAGCCTGTGCTATCTAAGCATTATTAGTTTAAGTGTTTTTTATCCGATTTTCTTTCATTTTTATTATTAATTTGTTATAATTGCATCACTTTAATTATCTATGTTATTTATTACCATAAATTGATAATAATGTAATGTTTTTTTTCCTCTCCATCCATGCCATCATCTACTTTTCTCTGTGTTTTTCCACGTAAAGCACTTTAAATTGCCTTGTTACTGTAATGCTCTTTATTAATCAGTTTGCCTCAGTTAATATTTACCTGCATGGATCTTGGTGTGCTTCACAACATCCTGGTTCCTCCTGAACGCTGCCTTACAAACTGAGCAGCTGAAAGGTTTCTCTCCTGTGTGAATTCTTGTGTGCTCCATTAGCGCGTTTTTCAGTTTGAAGGCAGCCTTACAGATGAGGCAACTGTAAGGTTTTTGTCCTGTGTGACATCTCATGTGACGAGTCAGGCTTATGCCGTGACTGAAGCTTTGACCGCAGACTGAGCAGCTGTATGGCTTCTGTCCAGTGTGACTTCTGGTGTGTTCCACTAGCGTGTATTTCCGCTTGAAAGTGGCCTTACAGATGGAACAGCTAAACGGTCTTTCGTCCGTGTGGATTCGCCCATGCTCCATCAGATTTCTTTTGGAAGTGAAGGCTTTGTTACAGATGGAGCAGCTGTGAGGTTTTTCTTTGGTGTGGTAGGTCATGTGATAGGTCAGGCTTTCCTTCCTGCTGAACCTTTGCTCACAAAGTGAGCAGCTGAAAGGTTTTTCCTCAGTGTGGCATCTTATGTGTCGAGTCACACTTTCCCTCCTGCTAAACTTCTGATCACAGAAGGAGCAGCTGAAGGGCTTTTCTTCCGAGTGGATTCTGTTGTGTCTCGCAAGACACGGCCTACTATTGAATGTTTTCCCACATTCAGAGCAGCTGTACAGCTTCTTTGCATCTATATCACCTAATAAGGGTCCTTTGATCTTCTCACAGGTTTCATCAGTGACTTTTATCTCTGAAGCTTTTGGAAGTTGGTCATTATTTGACTCAGATCCTACCGTGTTCTCCTCACACCAGGATTGTTGAAGCTCCAAAGTCTGAGCTAAGTCTTCATCACCTTCGTTTTTCACAGGATTAAATACAAACTCGGTTATCTCAGCCTCATCCTGTTCCTCTTTAACCTGCGGCGCCTCATTTTTTAAAACCTGCAGCTGCTGGATGTCTGCAGGAAACAGAAACACAGATCAGTCCTTGGTAACATGCTCAGGTTGATATTAACAAGCAGCAACACTCATTCCAGGATATTATTTCACCCCCCCCCCCCCAAAAAAAACACCTCTGTCTGAAAATAACAAAACCAACATGATCATAAATAAATAATAAAGCAAAAGACAACTAACCAGAACTCACACTTTGCCACATAATACTGCCATAGAGATAAATATCACATTAACAGCTATTTTAATTGTTTTTTTTTAAGGATTTTTTTTTAAGAAAAAGACTCTGAGTTAAAAGTTTAATTTATTGTGGATTTTCAGAAATCCATTCAAGTTTGAATATCTGCATTAACCTTAATAATTTATATTAAACTGAATGAGCTAGTTACATTTTGATCACATCCCTCTTTTGTAACCATCAGCTATATTTTGAGGTATTTCGGGAAGCTTATTTTATTCATATTTATGGTATCTGTTCATTTAAATTGCTTACATTTAAAGACAATTTCAGAATTTAGGTTTAAAGTTTCGTAAAAAAAAAAAAAAAAAGGTTTATGGCAGAGATAAATAGCGTTGAAGAAATATTAGGGTAAAAAAAATACAACGGAAGAATAAAACTGACAAAAATATTATCACATGTATCTATATAAATACCAGTAATAAATAAATAAAGTTGAAGATTATAACTGACAATAAATAAATAAAAAAAAAAAAATTCAAAGGCGAATAAATAAAGAAGCTAATTAAAAGAGATACATACATTTATGTCTCACCGTTTAATTTCATTTCTACCTAAATTTTTTTGTGTATTGTACTTTTAGGGGCAATTAATTGTATGCTTATTTATTTATTGAGCATTTATTTATCACTATTTATTTTTAAATATGGCAGAGTTGGTTCTCCATAAAAATTACACTAAAGTTGTGGATTCAAACTCAGCTTTCTTTTGCTACGAGCCCTGTGTCGCTGAGCAAGGCACCCACCCACCTGATGCCTAAGTGTAATTGGGTGGATGTGGCTCTAGTTTAAAGCCCTAGTTGTGCTCAATTAAAACAGAACAGTCCTCTAAAAGTCCAGTCATTTTAATGTTTACATTAGGAAATCAGATTTTACAACACTCACATACATCTGGTTAGAGAGGTGAAATAAATGAAGCAGGTTCAACTCTTACCATCACTTTGTGTCGACCTGTCCATCTCTGTTAGTTATCCTTTCTCCAAACTTCTGAGGTTTTCAGAGAATGATCTCTCTGCCTTCAGAAACAGTCTGATCTCCATCAGCTAACAGGCTAGGCTAACACTCGACACCCTCACCCTCCGAAGAAGAAACGTAATTTCAAAAAAATATCGCCAGGAGGATTAAAATGTGATCCCATTAAGTAATTTTTGGGGACTGCCAGAGATTTCCTCAACCCCGATTCACAACAGACGCTCAATCGACTCGGGCTTTGTTTATAAAGCTTCCGTCACTTCCGGTATAAATCCGGTTCTTCAGAATAAAAGTAAATACGATAACGTTGACAACATACGAAATAAGTCCTCTAACGCTAACGTTTTGTTGCATTTATTGCAGTCAGGGTGCCTTTATAGATAAGCTGATTTTCTTAAATGTAAATGAAATGGCTGATTTTAAAAACGTGTTAATCAAAATGATCACAAATTCCGATTTTATATATATATATATATATATATATATATATATATATATATATATATATATATATATATATATATATATATATATATATATATATATATATATATATATATATATAAAACAAAAAAGTTGTACGAAATTATATATATATATATGTATATATATATATATATATATATATATATATATATATATATATATATATATATATATATATATATATATATATATATATCCATAACATCAGTTTACATCAGTATTTATTGCTGAAACAAAACCTAGTAGTGTGAATAATTTTCTCTTTTTGTTTTTTTATTACAAATATATTGTATACATTTTCTTTAGAGAGGGTAGAGATATTTTATCTTTCTCACCTTCTCCTAAAAGCCACGCCTCCCACACAATGCAGCAGTTTTGCTGATACATTAACTATTTTTTAGGGCATGTATGCCCTTTAAATGACAGAGGTCAGAGTATCATAATTTGGGCCACTTTAAAGATGATACACATGCAATGAGACAATTAAAAAAGTCATCTCTTTGCCACACACTCCGCTTTGTTTAAAAAAAATATAGATATAAAAAATATAACTGCTTGTGTACCATAAAGAATAAATTATGAACGGTTTAGTTTGTGCCTTCAACTCGTTGCCCATAGGAAGACGTTACTTGGATTACAAAACCGAATATCTTCGGAACAGCTCCAAATGACACAAAACTAATATGGGTGAGTAGAACATGATGTAATATCGTAAAATCAAGGGCCCAATGTAAAAAAAAAAATGGTGTTCCCCTTTAGCGTGTCAGAAAATGGATGGATGGAAAAACTTTTGTAAAAGAACGAAGTAGAAATGTTTAAGATGTGTGAGAGCTGAATGTGAACAGGGTGAGTTGTTCTTGGAAAGAAAAAAAGAATAACACTATAAGTTCTGCATATTAATGTTTATTATATTTCTCTATAAATATCATACATCCATACATGGGACACCTTTGAATCAGACATGGTAAATAGATCTGAGAGGTACTTCATAAAACTCACTCAGAGACAGACATGGACGGCTTATTCTGACTGAAGTTAAACCAATCAGAATCAGTCTAATCCTGGTCCCGACCTGGCTAAGTTACTGGGTATAATAAATAATAGAACTTTATTATATCTCACATTGGAAAAATTTAACTCTGCATTTAACCCATCCCCTTGGGGAGCAGTGGACTGCTATTGTGCAGGGCCCGGGGATCAGTGTGGGGTTGAGGATCTTGCTCAGAGACCCAGAGTGGCAGACTGTGGGAGTGGGGCTTGAACTCAGAACCTCAGGATTCCAAGCTCAATGCCCTAACCACTGGGCCGCCTCCCCTAAAGTCACTTTTATGGTGGTTTAGGTCCACTGACGTCTGGCTAATGAGCCCAGCACACTTCCACTGTGCCACTCTGCTTGTCTGCAAAAAACAGAGTCAGACTCAGAACGAGGCAGGATTATGAAACCCAGAAAAACAGCAGAATAAGCCAGACATGACCAGCTAAGCCTGGTTTTTGAACTAAGTCAGTTTTATATAAATCCCCCAGGAATTATGTTAAAATCCTGCTTATGTGTCTAAAACTGCCTCACTGGCACCCCCCTCAAAGGTTTCATGGGTTCACCAACTTTAACTGAAAATTCATGCAGGTAAACAGACGTCAGCAGCTTGCTTGAGATTTGCTTGGGATTTGTCAAGACACTTCCAAATAAAACACTTTTGGTAAACAAAAAATATTACCTTTTATGTCTTGTCACCTCAGGACTCAAGGTTAATGTCAAATCATTATATTAGATAATTCTATTAGACATCAATGCCTTGTTGCACCATGTCTCTTCCACACTGTTTACATTTGATCACTGCTGCACTTTATGAATGGAAATGTTCCTTTACATTGCTAAGCTGCTGCTCATTCACTGCTTGAATCTGTATAAATAACAATTCATTTTGTATACTCTGTGTGAACAAAATGACGATAAAGTTTAAGTCTAAGAAAAAGATGGGTACCACTCATTTGAACAATTTTAATGCATTCTATCCCTATTTTCTTTTATAATAAAAATAATGTTTTTCTTTAAATTAAATTGATAGAAGTTCATAGAAAATGCTCTAAAATTGGGTAAAAAAAATAGAGCACATATATCCAGATTTGACTTTAGTTTTGTGTCTTTTTTCTTTTTAACCTTAAAAATAAATCATATGTTTTAATTTCAAAAAGAAAAGGCCTGTGCCTCCTTTTTTCTGGGTCTTATTTTATTATAAGATTCTGAATGTTTTCCGTTTTCTTCTTAATAGTGTTTGGATATTTATCTTCTGTCCCTAAATGATACGCCATATATGAGAGGAGGGAGCAGTCGCTTGTATGCTTTGCTCTCACATCCAGTTTAACAATTAGCAAATCATAGTTGAAACCACAACAGCTTAAACTCAGCTATCAGAGACCAAATGATGCTTTGAAAACAGTCTGAGCAGCTAAGATGATTCCCCTGTATGGATCTTTGTGTGGTTCACAAATGCGTATCTCCATCTGAATGTGGCCTGACAGATGGTGCAGCTGTAAGGTCTCTCTCCTGTGTGACATCTCATGTGGCGTGACAGACCTAACTGGCGGGAGTAACTCTTATTACATATTGAGCAGCTGAAAGGTTTTTCTCCAGTGTGGGATCTTATGTGTTCCTCTAAGGAGAGCTTCCTTTTAAACGTTCCATTGCAGATAGAACAGCTGAAAGGTTTAACTTCAGCGTGAGCTCTTACGTGAACAACTAGATATGACCTGTATCTGAAGCTTAGGCCACAGATCGAGCACTTGTGAGGTCTCTCTCCAGTGTGGGTTCTTGTGTGTTCCTTTAAAGTGTGACTTCGTTTAAATGCTGCCTTGCAGAAGGAGCAGCTGTAAGGTCTTTCCCCTGTATGGACTTTTGTGTGTTCCATTAAATTCTTTTTGGAGGAGAAAGTTTTGTCACAGAATGAGCAGCTGAAAGGTTTTTCTCCACTGTGAGCTCTCATGTGTCGCACTAACCCGTTTTTCCATGTAAAAGCTTTGCTGCAGATGGAGCAGACGAAAGGTTTTACTCCTGTGTGGATTCTGTAGTGTTCTGACAAATATTGTCTTCTGGTGAAGGTTTTGCCGCATTCAGAGCAGTTAAAGCCAACAGGGGTCTCCTTATTGGTCACAGAGTCTAAACGCGACGCCGTCTGAACGCTCTCCTCCCAGTTTCCATCACTGACATCCGTCTCTGAGTCAGAAGTTTTGTCCTGTGGATATTGTTCTAAGCATTCACCCAGATCAGAGTCTCTTTTCTCCTCCTTTTGACTGAGATGAAGCTCTGTGAGCAGCGGTTTCTCTTCATCATCTTTACTTTTCACACGGACAGGATCGAATATGAATTTGGTGATCTCAGTGTCCTCCTCCTCCTGTTTAACCTGTGGGGGTTTCTGGTCCTCCTGATCTGGTGTGGGACTCCAGCTCTGCTCCTCTTTGATCACCAACAGCATCTGGACGTCTGCAGGAAACACAAACATGTTACAGCAAAAACAGCTCTCAAGAAAAACAACATATCAATAACATAATGATTCCAGAATGTATCTAAATTTAAGTTTCTTAAAGGAATAGTACACCCAAAACATGATTAGCCTTCATTTTCTACTCACCCCCATGCTGAACAACACCCTGGAGTACTTTTTTGATATCTCAAATGCATCTGGAGATCTGGGAGGCTTCTTGCTGTCTGCTGAAATTCAAATAATGGAGGTCTATGGTGCCCGAGGCAGAAAGGTCCATAAAAGTCCACAAAAAACGTGTCAATATTCCTCCATACTGCTCGTCCAATGTATTCCAAGTGTCCTGAGTGGGTAGCGTCCATAATTTACTTGAAACGAAGTCATTTAGAATGTTTTTAGAGCATAAACAGTAGTGTATAGGATTTCCTAAAAGCGAGTTCACGAGTCTACGGAAACCACGGCAGACCAAACCAGATGAAAGTGTGCATTCAGCTCGGCAAAGAACTCATGCTCTTCCTCAACTTCGCAGCAAATTTCTTCTTCTACGCTTGCATTATCAAGAGCAGACACTGAATGCGCACTTTCATCTGGTTTGGTCTGCCGCGGTTTCCGTAGCGTCGTGAACTCGCAGGCGCGTATGGAGGAATATTGACACGTTTTTTGTGGACTTTTATGGACCTTTCTGCCTCGGGCACCATAGACCTCCATTATTTGAATGTCAGCAGACAGCAAGAAGCCTCCCAGATCTCCAGATGCATTTGAGATATCAAAAAAGTACTCCAGAGTGTTGTTCAGCATGGGGGTGAGTAGAAAATGAAGGCTAATCATGTTTTGGGTGTACTATTCCTTTAAGCATAAAAAGGGAATATTTTTCATCATGGCTCATTTTACTTTGTTAATTAGCTTTTCTTCATTAATAAAATAGACTGCTTCTGCATTGTTTCTTTAGTTTAAATTATAATCAAGCCTAAAGTCATACATTTTGTAAATTTAAATCTAAATGTTATTTATTTTATTTTTTTGCTGACTGGAAATGATGCGTCGGAGCAGCCCAACCACAGACTCAACTTCAATTTTGATAGAGAATCTGTGGGTGGATCAAAAGACTGGAATGAAGTCAAGGATATCTCCCTACCTCAAGGACTTGGAGCTGATGATTTCTGACATGTCATTAAAACAATATTCACTATAAAAGTGGAATAAAAAATCTTAAGTTTGGTCAATCTTTATTATTTTTTGTTCACTTGAGAATACCAAATAAATGCAGATTGATAGAAAATCTTTTGAAAGAAAACGACTTTCATACCAATCTGCTCGTGATTTGAATTATTTAAGATGTAGGTTTTTAAGAATAATAGGCCTTTAAGAAATAGTTTACTTATGACCGATTTTCTTAAGTCAACTGATTGATGATTGACTTTATTAATCTCACAGTGGAGAAATGTACTCGTTACATCAAGAAGAAGGTGCCAAAGGACGAAAAAGGTGCGCTTTATATATATATACAGTATATACAGTGAGTCCACATATGACAGTTTATATACATATATAGTAGAATAATTATAAAGGGTTATTGCACAGGGTGTTTATATGGGTATTTATATATATGTGAAATATATATTTATGCCAAATACAAAGAAAGTATAAAATAGTAAATTGCACATAATTTTATTTTCCTTACAGTGTTTAAGTGTGGGATCTAATTTTAGACAAGCCTATAACATTTCTTTGCAGTTACTTGGATTTATATCAGAGAAATCTCTACCCTGTATTCACACCTTTATAAATACAATTTATAAATCCTTCAACTTTCATGCAGCCAACCTTAGAATGTGACTTTCCTGTTAGCATCCCTCTTTTCACAAAGGAAAGTTTTCTTTTTTACCTATGTCTTTACATCAACTGAACAGTTATTTTTGACTGATTTGTATGTATTTATTATTGCAGCCTTTGATTGCATGCAAACGTCTGAGGAGCTGTGGGTGAATACCAGAGCCCATCTGCTCACTGCGCGTCGGTTCCTCCATCTGTTAGTTATCCTTTCTTCAACTTTCTCAGGTTTTCACGCAATCTCAACAAGAATCTCTCTGGCCTAAAAGAGAAACAGTCTGATCTCCATTCAAGTGTCTCTGATCCATCAAAAGTGATACAGTCTGAGCACAGCTAACAGGCTAAGCTAACACACGACGCTCTGAGACTTCCAGGAGGAAAAGTCATTTCAAATTAAGCTTTACAGATATGATGAAAAATGAACAGTGCACAGTGCACACTAGAGCATCTTTTAAAAATGCCGAAGATTGGTTCAATCACCCGACAGACGCTACATGAGCCTAGCTTTATTTAGGCAGTATTAGCTACTTCCGGTAGAGCTCAAGTCCTTCAAAATAAAACTCACAGCTGATGATAACAGGAAGTCATCTCCATCGGCATCTGTTAGTGTACCTTGGACATATTTTGAGTGGCTATTTTCATTTATTCACAAAGACTTTTATTTTTTTTTTAAACACCAACATGGTGTAGCAGGTTTCAAAAGAAGAACCAGAGAAGATATGACTAATAATTTCTCATAGCCGTATTCAAATTATGTACTCTAGTGAGGCTTTTTTTTTTTTTTTGCTTTAAGAGTTCCTAGTAAGGTGTTAAACATATTGTTTATTGAACCCACAGTACACTTAAGATGTTTTAGTGGTCTTTTTAAATATTTTAATATGTGATGTTTTTATGTACCAGTTTGACAAAAAATATTATATTGTCAATGATTTTAAGAATTTTACAGGGAAGCTTAACCCTCCCTAGTATTTATTGAGATATTTATGTTCATTTTAACCACCAACACCCTGCAAGTGACTTTCCATCATTTAAGCCTTAAAAATCCCATATATCCGAGGGAAAAAAGTGTGATTTTATGGGCTGAAAATTATCACTTGTCTATTGTCTTTTTTAACAACAAATAATCTAAACAAATACAGACACTTATGCTTTTTTTTAACATGAAGGGACTTGCGTTTTCTTCTATCATAATTTTCCAGTTGAAGCAATACATTCAGGAGGATTCATTAGAAGCAATTAATTTAAACCAATTTTCTGCAGTCCCATAATAATATTTATCAACAGAGAGAAAAAAAAATGAATCTCACACCATTTTACAAAACAGATATGATCAGTAAATATCCACATATGCAAAATGGTCCATCTTTATTTAAAAGCAAACCAGCTCATCTCATGCATAAAGTAGCTTCAAAACAGTCTGTGGGGCAGGTTATTCAGAAGAGGATTAGGGCCACTGAAAACTGATTTTTATTTTATTAAAATGTCAGAATTCTGAGTTTAAAGTCAGAATTCTGAGATTAAAGTTAGAATTCTGAGAAAAAAAGAATTCTGAGATTAAATTTAGAATTCTGAGAAAAAAAGTCAGAAATTCTGAGATTAAATTTAGAATTCTGAGAAAAAAGTAAAAAAAATTCTGAGAAAAAAGTCAGAAATTCTAAGATTAAAGTCAGAATTCTGAGATTAAAGACAGAATTCTGACTTTTTTCCCATATTAAACTAAACTAAAATTAAAAAATCAGTTATATATACACAAATGACATGTGAGAATAATGTAGTGCACTTTAATCTTAACTATTTTGGCTAGTTGGTGAAAAGGTCTGCAAACCTTCAGGGCAACAGGGTGGATAATTGCTGCTGCAGCTTATGGCTGATTTTTGGAGCACCAATAGTAGAGGATGTAAGACAGACAGGGACTTGGGGCAGATAAAGGAAATGATTTGGATAGGTTTGGAAAATATAAAACGTGCCAGCTGGTCCGCACATGAATGCATAAAACTATTGTTTGATCCAAAATATTTTTGAATATAAGGGGAGCTAATTGATGCATCTGTATGCATAGAATGAGAAAAATACGTTTGTTAAACCTAAATTATTATGTTATTTGTTTACCTTTCTAGAACTGTTATGTTGAAAATGGAGGAGGCTCTAGCTCATCAGCAGCTCTCCAAACAATAAAATAACTTTTGTTGGGACCAGATGAGAGCAGAACCGCTGCAGCAGTTTTCAAACACTACTCAGAGTGTTGTTACTGCCACCTAGAGGCTACGGTGTGAACTACATTCTGTTTACCAAAGGGTAACTATTGAATGTGTTTTTCAAATATATGTTGCTGAATTTGCCAAATTTTCAAACTAAGAAACAAAGTTGTGATCAGTTGTGAATAAAACACAATAAATAAAGAATAACTCAAGTCATCAAGTTTTAATGCAAACTTTTGGCTTCTTTGTGAGGGCAACAAAGTAATTTTTTTCCAAGATTAACAATTTTGCAAACAAAAGCTTGCTTATCACAAGAATAAAAAAAAAGGCCATAAAAATGTTAAATATCTTCATTTTTCATTATCCCTTCTGTTCTGTTCTTTAACAAATGTATCTTAAATGAAAGAATTGAAATCTATAAATACTTTAAATAAAGCAACAATTCGTCCACAGATGAACCATTTCAGATGTATAAAGTGTGTCGTTTCAGATTGATGCTTGCATCCTCCTCATGCGTTTGTTCTCCTGGCGACTCGTCGACACACTGATGGTATTTGAGCTCCGTGAACCACGCAAAGCTTTTCTTGCACTTATCGCAGTTGTACTTCCTCTCTGCATCGTGGACAGACATGTGGGACAGCATGCTGGCCTTGTTGCTGTATTTCTTATTGCAAACCGAGCAGCTGAACGGTTTCTCTCCACTGTGCATTCTAACGTGAACCTTCAGGTTTGAACTTGAGGTGGATCTGTGTCCACAGATAGAACAGACGTACCTGTCTGTGTGCTGCTGCATGTGAATCTTCAGATAGGAGTTGTAGCGGAACACTTTGCTGCACTGAGGGCAGCTGTACGGCTTTAAGTCCGTCACATATTTCACTCCCTTCTCCGAAGGTTCTTGTCTCACCGGGTTTGAGTTCGACCGTGGCTTCTGGGAGTCCTTCCAGAAGTCGACGCTGTCGTCGCTCTCGGGTTCCAGAGACTCTGACGGTTTGTTTTCAGAGAAGCCGGACGGATTTTTGCCAGAATCGCTTTCAGAGTTTGAGCCTGTTTTCGGCTTCCAACAATCGCTGTCGTCTGTGTCGGAGTCGGAAAGTTCTCCTTCCAAAGGGATATTCTGCTCCTCGTTCTTGGGACGGGGTAGCAGCTTCTTCTCGTCTTCTTCAGTCTTCATCGATCCAGGACTTAAGGAGAACCTGACGATTTCTGTCTCCTCCTCCTCTACTTTTATCTGTGGAGGCTTGGAATCCTCCTGCTTCACCTCCTCCTGTATCTGTCCAATTAGAAATGTGTTCTCATCAGTCTTAGGATCATAATTAGGTCTGCTAGAGGTGGAATCTAGCAGAAGTTGTCTACAGTCTGTCAAAGAGTCATTTTCAGTTTCAAAAGATACTGAAACCTTCATGTTTGTCTCTTTTATCAAATCAGATTCTGATTTTGCCGGTTCGTCTCCATCAGCTGCCTCCTTCTCTCCATTAGTCTCCATCTGACCCTGAGGAAGCTCTGATGTCTGATGAACAGCCTTATGTTTAGACAGCCTATAATAGGTATTAAATTCAGCACCACACAATCTACATCTGAAGACCTTCTTCCTTTTCCTATGCACCTCCATATGTTTGGTCAGGTGCCTCCTCCAAGCAAAGTCTTTCCCACAGACATGGCAGGTGAACTGGGTTTGTCTGGTGTGGAGCCTCATGTGCAGAATTAGCGCATCTTGGTCGATACAGCTGGTGTTGCAGATGGAACAGCTGAACTGTTTTCTTCCTAAATGTAGTCCGAGGTGAAGGTTTAAGTCTTTGCTTGTGGAGAACTCTTCACCACACTGAGAGCAGCAGAGTTTATCAGCTGGAATCGGCTCTTCTGGTCGACTTTGAGGATGTTTAAGAGACCTGCACTCGTGGTTAACAAGTTCTGAGTCAGAGGTGAAGGTTTTCTTGCAGATAAGGCAGGTTAGCAGCTTCTCTCCTGTGTGACCTGATGTGTGTATGGTCAGCAGACCTCCTGTTGTAAATTCCGCTGCACAGAAAAAACAGCTGAGCTGAAGCATGTCTGGATGCCTCTCCAAATCACTCACCTCTCCTTTTATTAGACTTTTAAAATCCTGCGGCACAGAGTCACAGTTTTTAAAATCCCTTTTAAAGTCTTCCCTTGCCAGTTCAAATTCCTCATTGTGGCTGAAGGTTAGCTCATCTGCGTCTGCTTCAGTTTGTCTCCAAGGAGAAAGCAGCTTCTCCTCCTGGTCCAGCCCAGAACTCGTCATCTGCCGATCAGGAGGAGGTTTTACTTCAAACAACTGCAGGATGGCTAAAACAAAAAGAAACATTGTGAGAAACGCTGAGTTTATGCTTGAATGGGTTTATCTACATCAAAAACTGGCAGTTTTGAAGCTCTGAGGAGATTTATGATAGTGCTTCTCTTCAAATATGTTGATTTTTGTCACAGAAATGGATTAATACCTTGCATGTTCCAAAATCATTACTTTTAAATCCCAGCAGTTCAAGTTTAAAGCTATATTTTGGAAAACTACCCCTCTATTTGTTAGGCAAAAAAAACAAAAACAACAACAACTAAATAAACTTAAAAAAACTGTTAATACAGATATTTAAAAATCTACCAGCAAAACTAGGCTTATGTTATCTTAACACCTATGTTAAATATGAACTTGTAAATAAACTTCTCATACAAAAATGAGAAAAACCTTACCTCTGCTATTTCCTACTAATACATTACATCTTCTATTGTCTAATTTCTCCCACAGAATTCACATCTTCCTGTTTTTCAATTATATGTAATGTTGATTTAAGTCCTGTGTGCCCCAAACTTAATGTAGTTATGATCCTTTCCTGAATACTGTTCCAGTATTTCTCCTAATTTTCAAACCTTCCCTCATATTTTATAGAACCACCTTCCTTTAATATCATCTTCCTACATTTCTTGCCATTTCTGTTAAATTTTCCTTTTGATAATACTCTAAACCTCTGACTTATTAACTACAACTCTAATATCATCTTGACTCAGTTTGAGTTTTTTTTTTTTTTGCTTCCTTATTAGCCATTTAATTTTACTTTGTCCCTATATATGTGAAGGAACCCAAAGAACCTAAAAAAACAAACAAACAAACAAAAACTATCATTAATCCCATCATCTGAATGCGATAGGGTATTTGCTCAATCTCTAAAAGTCAATTTCTGAATTATTTATTCATAGACTGATTAATGATGAATTCAAATCTAAGCAAATCCCGGTCTGATCTCCTCAATCCATTCTACTGCCATCATTATTACAATCATCTCTGCCGCATATATAGATAAGCCTTTATCTAGCTTCCTCCCCATATTGATTTTTGATTTCTGGAACTACAGCTGCTGCCCCTGTTTGAACAGATGCATTCTGGGACGCATCTGTATGAATTTAAACGTGGTTATGAAAATATTTGATATACTCTTGTGTTATTGAATTCCATTTAAAAGTTTTATCTTTATGTTGTCTTTGTAGTATAGTTAGGTCTACAACAGCATCAGATAAAATCCAGGGTGGTGATATTACTAAAGGCAAAGTTGGACTGAATTTTAAATGATTTATTTCCAACTCTGTAGCCATTGGTAAAATTAACCAACCAAATGATTTATCGTCTGCTCTTTCCTTCTCCCAGCATAATTGGTTGGCTGCAACTAATGAATATACTGAAAATTTAATAATCTGTCCATTATTTTTTCGATTAATCAATATAGATAGCCAAAGATTCCTTAAAGGTATAGTGGAGGATTTTATTTCTGGGTGGAACATCAAAATAAGTGGTCCTCCTAATTGTCAATCATTCTGGTGGTATGTTTACATTAGGCCAGGGGTGTCAAACTGATTCCAAAAAGGGCCATGTTGCTGCAGGTTTTCTTTCTAACCAAACAATAGCAACCCAGACTCCATTCATCTCATCAAGTCATCATGTTCAGATTGGACTCCCTTGATGAGTTTACTGGAGTCTGGTGAGCTGTTGCTTGGTTGGAGAGAAAACCTGCAGCCACACGGCCCTTTCTGGAACCAGTTTGACACCCCTGCATTAGGCCATTCTCACTATGCGCACTTTCAGCCTCATATATCTGCAGTGAGCAACAGTTTCAGACAGTCATTGGAGCTCACCTTTCTCACCACGGTGAGAACAAGTGTCTCCGAGAACAGCAACTCTTAAACAGAGTGTGCACGAGCCGGTTTTTTTAAATTGGAGCGGGCAGGTTTTTTTTTTTTTTTTTTTAAAAAGATCATTTTATAGAGAATTACTCCAAGTGAAATTTAAACTTTTCCAGTTGAGGAGTTCTGGATAGAGCATATTGAAGAAAAAAAATTATTTTTATTTTAAATGCAAAATGTTTGTATATATTTTTACAATTTTCATGTCATTACTGCTCTAAGTGAGTTGCTCTGTCAGCTAAAGGCATATTTTAGTGTCTCTATACTCCATTTAGTGATTAATCGATTACTAAATGAGTTGACAATTATTTCAATGATTGATTAATCACCACATAGTTCTGACTATGTCCCTGTACTAACACAGTATTTTAATGAAAGCTGAATCCTTCATAATGCGAATGGAGTTTCACCAACCCCTACCTGTAAAGCAGAGGTTGGAGTCGTGCGGCTGTGAGCGGCTGAGATGATAAAAAAAAAAGTTGGTTGTGTTATCAGACTTCGTTTTCACTGGTTCCCTACACATTTTACAGATGACTGTGGTTTGTTTTTTGTCCGACTTGCCATGACCGAAATACTGCCAAACTGGCGAACTACAAAAACCTTCTTTGGAACAGTTTCCTCCGCCTCTCCTTGCTGCGACATCTTCATGTGCTCTGTGTTGTGGTTTGAGAGGGCGGCGCTTTGTGACGGCGTGTCTGGGTCCGCGATTGCGATTGGTTGGGAGGAAGTAGTGACTAGCATAAACCTACATGATAGGCTACAATGAGAAGGAAGGAAAACTGCGTTTCTTTATCGAACTTTTATCGACACTGTTTTTTTCTATTGCGCCACACGTCTATCGATCGATATATATCGTTATTAAATTATCGCCCAGCCCTAATAACCATAGTCTCTTCTCTTCTTTTTTCCCCATTTCTGTTTCTCTTCCTAATGAATTACAATATTTTTTTCCTATACATTTTTTTTGTATTTCTTATAACCTTTCTTACCTAAGCTTATTTCTTCTTATAATCAAAAAGATTCAGGTAATTCTAATTCCTTTTCAAAAATGCAAAATCTTTATTCAGAGATTTAATAACCTGATCACATTCCATGGTCCTTCATGGTACAATCCTCCTCTTGTTCTTCCCACCTTTCTTTGGAATTGAATGTTAAACAGCTTCTATAACAGAATTTCAGAAAGTACAACTTAATGAACCAAAGTCAACACTCATATGCATTTCTTCAATTATTAAAGTCCAAACAGCTCTATTAAAAGACCAAGGAAACAACCCGGTAGAATCATCCTCACTCCAATTTAATCCCACTTCAATCATAATAGAAATTTTCACTTCCAATAGTTGCGGGTTTTATCACATTCCCACTGCACAGACCAGACAATGAATCAAAAACTAAAGTTAAAACAATATCATTTTCTGCACCTGTTATGTTAGACCTCATCCTGTCTCTGTTATTAATGCACAATATATTAAGACTCCATTACCTCCTCAATAACCAGTGTATTCTCATCTGTCCTATGTGAGCATTGAAGTCACCATACCATACCACCCTTTGACTATACTGTAATATTACCTCACCCAGTAATTTTACTAATAAATTCTTACTTGGATTATAAAAATGCATCATCTTAATCTTACTTTCTTTTGTCCATAATTCAATACCAATATACTCAAATGTTTTTCCTTCTATACTGCAACCATCTCTTTAAAAGAATCAAAAATACATTATCCTTCTTTCTATCTATTCAAATACTGATACTCATTAATTAAGTCTGATGTAGGCTTTAACCATCTTTCATGAATACATATAATTTCAGGTTTTATTTTTAACTTTTGTATGAATCCTTTTTTACTCTTATCCATTTCCTAACAAACTTCTAGCGTTCCATTGCATCAGCAACACGCTGCAAAGTCACTCGAACCTGGATGTTTGTCTCTCAATGTTTTAGCCATTTCACATCCATTTCATATCCTGTATTTTCATTTTTAGTTCTTCTGATACTAATATTGGGCTCAGATTAATGTTCTCTTCTTTCTTGAGTTAATGTTTATTTTTATTTTTTTTACTTCCTTCAAATTCTCTTTACCTACACTCTTGTTTCCATCCTTCCAACTATTTCAATAATTTTTTTACAACCTGGTTCCCTTCAAATTGTCCTCTTCCTCGGCCACTAGCTACCCATAGCTTTATAATAACTTTATAATAACTATCCATATCATCATCTACTGCCTGAGCTGCCATTATAATCTAGTCACAAATGTTTTTATCCCAACCTCCAAATTTCCTTCAAATTCGTCCAGACAGTCAGTTTGTCTTGACTTCAGGCGATTTCCAAAAGATGTTTTCCTCGTTAGCATTCCAGCTAACCGTCACTTCTCGGTTCGGCGTGAAGGCAAAATGGTTCGAATCCCTAAAAACTAACAAATTTACTTCAGACGAGTTTAAACTACCATCATAACAAGAAGCGGAACTGTTTAAAACCTTTTCCGGGTGAAGATTTTCACAATAAAACTCTTCTTTGTCAGATTGGCGGATTGCAAACAGCTTATAAATGCATACCGCCACCTACTTTACATTAGTGTGTAGCTCTATAGTTGAACCTACTATATTTTATTTTTTATTTTTGTGTTATGTAAAAATAAAAACAATGCTTTATTAATAACCAAATTTTCCTCCCTATTTCCATCTGTCCCTAAAATTCCTTTAATACTCCAATCTCTCCCTTTTCCACTTTCCTCATCCTCTCTCTTTCAGTGGCATATTTATTGCCATCCATCAAAACATGATCGACATTTTCTTTTCTTTCACAACCCTCATATATATAATTATTTCTCTTCCCTAGTACAAACAAAACGTCATTCAAGTAGAAATGTCAAGTTCTTAATCCAGTATAAATTATCTCTTCCCTTTTCTTCTTTCTCCATAATTTCTAACAATTACAGATTTTTTAACCCTATATAATCTTCTTCCTTTCTCATCTTCATCCCATATTATTTGCCATAACTCTGTTTCTTTTTTTTATTTATTTTTGATTTACCTTCCCCCTTCCCAAATGGAATCTGGTCTATATTCTTCGTTCTTAAAGCCTTTTTAGCAGAACCGAACATCTATTCCATACCCAAATAACCTAAACAAACTCCAATGAATTTCTAATACAAGGTCTTTCCTATTATTTCCTCCTGAATGAATGCTTTCTATTGCAGCTTTAGAATCTGTGCAAATCAACACCCTGTCTGGTCTGACCTCCTCCACTCACTGTAAACTAATAATAATTGCTACCATTTCTGCTGTATATATAGATAAAAGGTCTGTTAATCTTTTACATATACATAAATTAAACTCTGGAATGAATATGCCTATTTCCACATTTCCCTTTGAATTTTTTGAACCAACTGTAAAAATTTCTAAATAACTATAATACAATTGTATAATATATATGCTAGTTTTAACCCCAACTTCATTATGTTTACAGTAAAACTCTTCTTCTTCTTCTTCTTCTTGGATTTATTGGCGCTTGGCAACAAACATTTAGTAGCATTACTGTGGTTCTTGATGGACCATCTACTAATAAACATATAATTTCTAAGGAACAAAAGGAAACTTTAACTTTGTATTCTAACTTTGTATTCTACTCGTCTATATCATATACACATTCACCCTCTCTATAATCAAATTCTATGAAATAATTTAGTTTTCTTTAAAAATCAAGTATTTATATATGGTTACTCCCCAAATTGTTCCTTAAAATTCCTAATAAATGAATCTTTTCCTTAATACACTCAAACTCTCTCCTAATTTATCTTCTCTCGCTTTCATATTTATGACATTCCAGTATAAATTGTTTCATATTTTCCACAGTAATCCCATTTGCCACTAGTATGCTTTTGAATTTTGAAAAGTGTTAAATTAAGTCCTGTATGCCCAAATCTTAACCTTGTTATCACTCTCTCCTCCTTTCTATTTCGTCTTCCATCTCTTCTTTTTCCTTCTATCTTCTGAATTTTATAAAACCACCTTATTGTTTTTTCTCCATCCCTTTTTTTTTTTTTTTTGGCCATTTTTCCATCAAATCTTCCTTAATAACACTCTTTCCCTCCGATTTACTTGTTTTACTGTAAAACTAATAGGATTTTGAATTGCCCTCTTTGCCATTCAATAAAACTCTTACTGCTGCTCTGCAACAAAATAATAATTAACAATAACAATAATAAAATGGGGTTCCATTTGTGTGTCAAAAGTAATTAGAAGCAACATCTACACATATCATAACTAGATACATAGATATTCCATAATATGTTTAAAGAAAAACAGCTTTTAGAATGTTTTCCTAATTTTATTGGTGTTCATTAATATGTTTGTGAAGCATTACATGTGGAAGTAAAATAGTCCCATTGGAATCAGTTAATATGTCTAAAAAATATATAATGTTTTAAATTCAGTGTTTAAAAAGACTAAATTAGAAAAATTAGACTATTTTATTTCCATAATCACAATCTTGACAAACATTTTTACATATATATATATATATACGGTATATATATATTAGTGGGCAATTTTTAAAAGTCTTTCTTAGCAGCGGTTTAAAAAGCTTTAGAAATTAAATTAACATAGGCCTTTTTCACAATTGAAAACTTCTCAAGCTTTGCCATGAGTTAGGCAATATATATATAGATGATATATATATCATCTATTAAGTTTTTACAATAAATAATAAATAAATACATGTATGATTAAAATGTTAATGAAATATTTAAGGTGGTAGATTATAATTGGCCTGATATGCATGAGAAGCTTCATGAAGGGAAGTGAAACATTAAGAGAAGAAGTGACTATTGGAGCAAAACGACATCTGGCAGGAATATCCTGCTATACTCTGTTGGATCATTGAACTGTTGAGATTTTTTTGTATTATCGAGAGGTTAATGATTTATGTTTAGTTATTAAACATGTATTACTTTAAATATTGTCTCAAATTATTATAAATTGAAAAATCTTTACACTAGTTTAGAAATATTTATTGCTTTTGGAAATTTAAATCTTCTTAGTGCTGGAAAATCTTTGTACAAAATTACTAAAAAATATATTTTTTTGTAAATGTTAAAACCTGTTTTACAGTTTAACATAAAATATACTTTATTTGATAAATAATACAGTGATATTTCATGTAATTACTGGTTCATTCAAAGTAGGTTATGGGAGGTTTGTTAAATGGAAGTGAAACAATGTGTCTCAGTAACTGTTGGAACAGAAAAAAAACATCTGGCGGAAACATTTCAGTAAAAAGCATCAACGCTCTCATAGTCAAAGTTTCCTGGTGTCATTTCATGCCTTCCTGGTTCCTGTTCTCTAACCTGATTGGTGTTTCCTAGGTGATGCTCCCCTACAGGAGGAGCTGCAGCAGGGGAAGTTCACCCTCATTTTTTCATTTTTTTATATCTTTTTAACATCATTAAAAACATAAACCATCACATCTCTTGTATGCAATAAAGTCAATAAAGTGTGAAATTGGCCACAAATCGTCATTTTGTGTTCATGACAAGACATTTTCATATAGTTTTGCTCAATTTAGTTCAACATGGTTTAACATGGAACATGTTATCTTGGTCATATCAGAATTTAGAGAGGATTCTTCTTCTCTATGCCATAAAGACCCATAAGGAGTGAAATTTTATTTTAAAAAAAAGGATTTATCTCTTCAGAGATTTTTATTTTGTTGACAAATTAAATGTTTTTCCTATAAAATAGAAGAAAACTGTGCACATCGCTGTATAAAGATAAAGAAAAAAATGTTGCTCAGTTTTTGGTGATATTTTTTTTCTAGACAATCTTTTTTGTCAAAATTGTGTCTCAGTTTTTTTTTTGTCATTTTAATGTAAAGCAAATTCACTGAGATACTCAGGGCCTGTGCAACATTATAAAGGTTAATAACCACAGATTATTCATCTTTATCTGTGTCAGAGGTAGTTAGTATATTTAAGAAAAACAAGTTAAAATTATTTACCTTTTTTCTTTGGCATGTACTTATATAGCCTTTATTCAAGTTAGGAGACTTGACCAAAGCGCTTTACACTACATTCATTCACCCATCCACACACACACTCACACACTGATGGTGGCAAGCTACATTGTAACCACAGCTGCCCTGGGGCTCACTGACGGAAGCGGGGCTGCCGTACACTGGCGCCACCGGGCCCTCTGACCACCATCAGTAGACAATGCAGGTGAAGTGTCTTGCCCAAGGACACAACGACACTGAGAGTCGAAGTCGGGGCTTGAACCGTCGACCCTTCGATTTCAGGGCAAACTCCTACATCCAACGCCACTGTCGCCCCCTTTCTACAGTATAATAGTTTTTAAACATAATCTAATATCTATTTAAACAGGTTTAAAACCATGTCTGTATAAAACAATAAAAATGTCCTGTTTTCATGTGTTTCCCTTCAGTTCCCATTAACATAAATTGAATCAACTGAAAATATTTTGGTTTAATTAATGAGCAGCTAGAGAGTTTAATCAGCTTTACATTTTAACTAAAGTTTTTTCATTTAAATTCTTCTTGAAGTCGTCTTTTGTCTGAACCAGAATTAGAGGCTTAAACAAAAGTTTTACTGTTCAAAGAATCTCTGTTCTCTGTTCTCTCAGTTAAATTCATAGTTACTCTGTGTGTGTTTAGTGATCTGTGTCAGAGTCTGCTGTGACATTCAGCTGGAGTTTCTGTTCAGTCTGACTGAGGGAGGTTTTTGTATGACTGTTTTTCACTGTGTGAACAGATCCTTACTGTTGATGTAGTGGCCACTCTGACAGTAGTAAACTGCAGCATCTTTAGCCTGAACTCCACTGATGGTCAGAGTGAAGTCAGAGTATGATCCACTGCCTGTAAAATGACTTGGAGTCCCTGATGCTCGAGAGCTAGCATCATAAATGAGCAGCTTAGGAGTTTGACCATCTTTCTGTTGATACCAGGCTAAACTGTCAGAGCCAAATACATCCTGACTGGTTCTACAGTTGATGGTAACAGATCCTCCCAGATCAGCTCTCACTGCTGCAGGCTGAGTCACTGTGACCTGACCTCTGGACTCTGAGGACACAGAGACAAAAACATAAAGCAGCTTCATGGTTTGTTGGCTTCATTTCAGAGGGACAGATGTTCATGGAGGAGAGGAGTTTGATTCTCTGGACTTTACCTGTGAAGTAGCAGCAGAGGAGAGTCCAGATGAGGACGCAGATCAAAGTCATGTTTTTGATGAGGAGGATTTCTGTGTCTTCTGTTGTCATAAAGGACAGCTGTCAGTCATCCAGTGTTCAACTCTGAGGACTATAAACTCTCCCAGAGCGCTGGAGCATGGAGCTGCTGATGCAAAGTGGCTCTATGGAAATACTCTGACTGACTCCAACAGAGAATTTTGGTCAACAATGATATAATATATTAATTTATCAATATATTTTTTAGCACCCACTACCTCAAACAAACT